ACAACAAAAAGTTATATTGAAGTCATTGGCTTATAAACAGCTAAAGTTTTTGATCGAAATAATCTATAATGCTGTCATGGATACTATTCCAATCAGTAAAAGCGATAAAAAATAAACTGATCAGACATAAATTGACTATTCGTAAAGTTTTAAACGAGGGAATAAGACCAAAGCAGAGACAGAAGAGATTATTGTCACTCAAAGGAAGCTTGTTAACTTTATTTGTTAAAGCGTATTTTGAATGGCAAAATAATTAGTTTTAATTCCGAGAGCTAAATACGAAGGGTTATTAAATGACAGTAAACAAGTATCAAATGAAAGGAAGGAACCACCAAGTAGAGTAAAACAAGAATCAAGCGAATGGAAGGAACCACCAAGTACTGTAAAACAACAAACTAATGACAATAACTCAGTAGAAAAAAATGATTCAAATCCTGAAACAACACAGGACGGTGGGCAATTATATGTAGAAACTACACCTCGTGATTTCATGACTCGCATCAATAAACAGAAGGTGAAGAAGAAATGGCTGTCATTCAAAGTTTAGACATGCCCACTTGCTCCGCCCACACACTATAAGTATAGCTGTTTCAAGACAGATTTCATACAGGATCTAAATTGTTCACTATGGCAGACGGATTTCTTGCTGGTCTACTGAAGAAATATGGAGAAGAAGATGAAGAAGCTATAGAAACATTACGAGATTTGAAGAGAAAACAAGACAGTATAGATACCTCACCAACTAAAAAATCGAAAACATCGGTAAAAGATAGTGATGTTGAAACTGAGCCAAATGAAGAAACAACCCAAGAGTGTGAAAACGTCTAGTACGACTCCAAATACTAAATTTCAACCTTGTGGTTTTGGTTATCAGGTTGTGTGTGAGGATGAGAGGTACGCTAAATCACCCGTTGTTTATCGAGGGCCAAATGTTAGTAAAACATTCCTAGAAAATTTGATTGAAGAGCAGCACCTTATCAAAAGCATTTTAAAGCATGTCGAACCACTAAAAATGACGAAGGAAGATGAGCGTCATTTTCAAAATTGCGAAAAATGTCATATTTGTAATAAGTATTTCGCGAGAGATTCCATCAAAGTAAGAGATCACTGCCATTTAACGGGGAAATATAGATCGGCAGCATGTCAAACTTGTAACATACAATATCAACATCCTTCTTTCATCCCTGTAGTTTTTCACAATTTGAAATGATTTAACGGCCATTTATTATGCGAAAGTTTAGGTCTATTCAAAGATCATGAAATCTATTAAAAAATATATTTCATTTAGTTTAGGAAGTTTACGATTTATAGATCCATTCCAATTCATGTCAGAAAGTTTAGATTCACTGGTTAGTAATTTAGCAAAGGGAGGAAGCTCCAAGTTCAAACATTTTTCAAAAGAATTTACTAAACCTCAGACGGAACTGTTACTTAGAAAAGGAGTTTATCCATACGAGTATGTAAACGAGGAAAGTAAATTCAGTGGAACAAAACTCCCATCACAACAACAACAATTTTATAGTCAGTTGAGCAAATCTCACATATCAGATTCTGACCATGTTCATGCACAACGTGTTTGGAACAAATTACATATTCAAAATTTAGGAGAATATCACGACTTGTATTTAAAAACAGATGTGCTTCTCCTAACAGATGTCTTTGAGAATTTTAGAACTACGTGTTTAAATTATTATGGATTAGATCCGTGCCAATTCTATACTAGCCCCGGTCTAGCTTGGAATGCAGCATTGAAAATGACAGGTGTGCAATTAGAATTACTAACCGATCCAGACATGTATCTATTCTTTGAGGGTTGTGTTCGCGGCGGCGTATCTATGATATCTAACAAGTACTCGAAAGCCAACAACCCATTCATTCCTGAAGCGTACGATGCATCAAAACCGAACACATATATTCTATATACAGACTGTAATAATCTATATGGGAAAGCAATGATGGAACCATTACCCATGGGATATTTCCGCTGGGTTGAAAATATAGAGGAATTTGACATTGACAGTATTTCAAAAGAGGGAGACTTGGGCTACGTGTTAGAGGTAGATTTAGAGTATCCCGTTGCATTACACGATGCACACTCCGACTACCCTCTAGCTCACGAGCGGAGGAAAAAATCTGACGATGAACTCTCCCCATACAGTAGAGACCTTTGGAACACATTACATGGTAGCCATTCCAATCTAAAATTAAAAGGTCGCGTGAAAACGGAAAAACTAATTCCAAATCTAGAAAATAAAACAAAATATATCTGTCATTATAGGAATCTGCAGCTGTATCTAGATCTCGGCATGAAGCTTACCAAAATTCATAAAATTTTAGAGTTTAGACAACATCCTTGGCTAAGGCCATATTTCTTATTTAATTCGCAACGAAGGGTTGAATCGCAAAATGACTTTGAGAAAAACTTTTTTAAGCTCATGAACAATGCCGTGTTCGGTAAAACAATGGAGAATGTTAGGAATCGAGTCGACATAAAGTTAGCTCATACTGAGAAAAAAATTAAAAAAAATATTGTGCAAAAGCGTCTTTTGAACGATTTAAAATCTTTAGCGAGAATTTGGTGGGTATTGAGAATGCAAAAACCAAATTATTACTGAACAAACCGGTATATGCCGGACAAGCCATTATAGAGCCCTCGAAAATAGTCATGTATGAATTTTATTACAAATATCTCAAGCCGAAATATCATGATGGAATGAAGTTATTATTTACAGACACCGATTCGTTCGGTATTGAAATTGAAACCCTCGATCTACAAGATATTAACTTGATAGAAGACTATAACACTGTACATGTATGATATATATCAATACAAAACGGGTTTAGATCGTTTGCGATTTTCAGGTAAATTAAGCTTGTCAAACACAGGATTTGCACTCTGTCAGTGTCGTGAGAACTTGCGTGAGGCATACTAATTTAGGTATTTTGTGATTTTCAGCCGATTCGTTACATAAATCATTCGCTCTTAAAATACAATTTTGTTGATTGTCTCAATATATGCATACACGTTCAAACCCTTATTCTAGACAGTTTTTCTATAAAACTTATGTTAATTGACAATCATATGTGTATGCAAAAACTTGAAATATTTCATCTCCTATTGTAAAAATGTATCATACACTTTCTTCTAATAACCTTTTCATCTATTACTTAAATTTATCGTAGCAGATGTTTACTACTTACTATAAAACAAGAACTAACACTATCCGTTATTAAAATACTTTGCCTTTCTTTTACTTATCGTTAGAAGTCTTTTTACATAATACAAATTGTGTATCTTACAGTTTTATTTACAATGTGGCTAGTCATTCTTATAACCTCTTCGTGCATAATTTTTGTATATTCAACATTTTCATATATACTAGCATGAAGCTTTGAAATTACTCGACAGATCTGCGTACTACCTCCAGCGATATTTCTTTTAAATGTATAAATCTGTACTATCTCCAACAGTTTTGATATTATTCGACAGATTAAAGTTAGACCAATTCAAATCTGTAATTTCATAGTTAAATACTGGTAAAATATTTCTCAACTTGGTTTTTAAATATTAAGATTCATAAATACATCTTCTAAGTTACTTAATGTCTTACATTTCCTTTGTTGCTGGTAAATTATGTTTGTCAATACCTTCATTTTGTTTTCACAACTATCAATGCCTGTTGTTGGCTATATATTTAAATGATAATTTAAATGTTAAACAAATAAAATAAGTACATTCATAAGGTTCAAACAAAATATTTTTTACAGGAGTTAATGTTTCGTGTAAAAACTGTACTTGTGATAAATAAAAAAAAAATCCATTTTTATATTTTGAAGTCTCATAACAGTTTATTCATGTAGCATACAAAAAATGCTTTTTTTCTTCAAATATTAACTGCTTTTTGCTGTCTCATTCTCTTTTTGATATATGTCTATGAATATAGATAGTGTCAATGATTTTAACTTTGATAAGGTTGTGTTTTCGTAAAACAGTTTTTATATGTCTATATACAATCAATATCTGATGAATATATGTTTAATGTTTTTTTCAAATACTCAACAGATTTATTTTACAAATTCATTTCAAGATTATGATATTTACATTATTGAAAGGTTGTGTACCGTTTTTTTCAAATACTCAACAGATTTATTTTGCAATTTTCTTATTTTAAATAATATAAGTTGTGGCTTCATCTAAATCTTTTCATATTTTTTTTCCAATGTTGACTTTTTTTCCATGTCAGTTTGTTTTATTTGTAATGTCTATGCAGAACAGTTTTTTATGAATATAAACAATCAATATCTGTTGCTAATGAATACATTAGCTAAAGCTCAGGTGACCTAAAAATGAAAACAACAAACATGAATAAAAGTAATCATCTTTAAGTGTTTAAATAGAATTCAAGTATTCCAATAAACAATAATAATAATAAAAATGCTAGTTAATCCTCTTTAAGCATTAAACAAAAATGCTAGTTAACCCTCTTTAAGCAATAAATCAGCTTTGAAACAAAAATGTTCACGTGTGTTGCGATAGAATTGAAGCTGCTTTAATATTTTGTTCTATATAACCATTCATGAAGTAGTGATATATGGACTAATTTCGTACAGGACGCATAAACTCGCACGTACAAATAAATTTGTCACTCCAAATATCCATTCTAGTTGAAAACCAATGCCGGTCCTTTCAATCAGAATTTCGATCAGTACTCGGCGCCTGTTGGATTGTAAACACCCCTTTGACCCGTCCCTGTTTACAGTGTACATTACAATGATGACATTATGTTTTATGTAAACTTGTGGGATGTTATTAATGTGTCTATAAGCCATGTGTTAGTTGTATCAAGGACAATTTTTCCAACATCACGTGATATAGAATATATGTCGCTGACTCACTTGACATCAAGTCTGGGTATCTGCTGATATACGTTACTAATCTGGGTAAAGAATCTAAGATAAGCTATCCTCACATTGTAGAGTACAGTTTTGAGATAGTAACATACTATTATATTGCTATTTTACCTTGACTGTGACAGCCATTGATAACGGTCCACTGTTTAGGAGGAAGTTATACTTGTTTATAAAGATTATATATATTTATTTGGATGATAATATAAGTCATAATGACCAATCGGAGAGGTAAGTAAAACATTAATGACATGTTATATAAATAACGTAGAGGCATTGTATATTTCTAGGTCAACGACATGTATGTATACCTGTCGTAGACACCTGATCAATTTTAACTGCGGTAAGCATTTTTTTCTTCAAGATAAAATCGAGGACCTAGAATTTTGTATACATGATAAATAACCGTCATTCTTTGTGAAATGTCTATACATAACAAAACGTTGTTGTTTAAGTTGGCCATTAAGTGATAAATTGATACTCACTCAGGTAATATGGCTTGACTTGTATCAAAAGTCTTGTTAGCTTGATGAATTATTGTTAAATATCAAAACAAAATACATGTCATCATTCTCGAGATTTGAAGCATTTTATTACATTTTTCTCGACAAATGCATCTCCATGGACATACACCCTTATGATATTTACAAGTTTAAATGGTGTTTTTTCCTGAAATGAACATACAAAAAGTGAGTTTTTCATCAGTTATTAAAAAAAATTCTGAAATTTAGTGTGCATGTACCTCAATTATGTTTGAGAAATATTGGAGGAGGATTATTTTGTGACAGGGATTGTTTAATGCTAACAGAATGTATTATTGAATTTGATATACAGTTTGGTGTGGCAGCCATATTGGAATGTCCTTAAGACTCTGTGTTTGTATGGTGGCCGTAGCCGTGCAGCTTATGTCACGTGACACCAGGAGAAAGCCTTGTATATAAGATAACTGAACGTATTTATTTACAGCTTTGCCAAAAGTAGTGACAATACAAACATACAAACATTGCACTGAATCGCTCTCTTAAATCTGGTGGAAATTGGCAGTGACAAACGTGGCTATTCGCCCCTTGTTGTGTTATATTGTGAAAACAGAAGTAACCCCGTTATATTATTTTAATAATCAAAGCCGGGACGTTTTACGTATATGTGAGAAATAGGATGTACTAAAACGGGTTTTTTTATGGAGGAACCCGGACATTTTGAAAACGATATTTTTTCTAAATATTAATGTGGCAGTAATCATATCATATCTGCTTCATCTAGATGAAGATATCGCCAATGGACAATTCCTTCAAAGTTGTGACAAAAGAGGGAACTGCATAGAAGTGTGCAAGTATGGAGAAGATTTTATTCCAACAGCCATTTTCAAGATGGGCCATATCCCAGACCCACGCACACATTTTCCACTCCTGCGAGACATGCAGATTCGAGATGACGACATTTTACTCTGTGCTTACATGAAGGCAGGTGAGTTATAAAACATGTTTTTAGTTTTACTTCTGGTAGATATTCCAAAAGCGTCAACACAAAAATATCAAAGTTAATTAAAAAGACAGAACCTAGCAGTTACCAAGGAATTAGATCAGAATAAAAACTGTAGTAATATTGCTCCAGAAGGTTAAGCGTTTCCAAAACCGTCGTGGCACCCGTAATAGTGTTCTTCATATAAAGGATGATCAAAGATAATGACGAAGATGCGTTTAAAGTACACGATGAAATTGTTAAGAAAAACAATGATGTGTTATTTTCATGCGAATGAAGCTACTGTTATTGCATAACAAAAACCTATGTCTGTTGCCTAGGTACTCACTGGGTGTGGGAGATCATCGCGATGTTGACCGGACAATCGACAGAGTATGCAGCGGGTCCTAAGGAAGACACAATGATCGAGTTTCGTTCAGTGGAAAAGCTTGACGCCCTGCCATCGCCAAGGATACTCAACACCCACATACGGTTTAACAATATCCCAAAAGGTCTGATCGAAAGGAAGTGCAGGATTGTATTTGTAGTCCGAAACCCCAAAGATATAGCTGTATCTATGTACAACCACATATCAGCAAAGGGGTCTGCCTTCGCTTACAAAGGAAGTTTTGATGACTTTTTATCCTTATTTATGAGTGACGTAGGTAAGTTGATAGCTACGAAAGATAATAGAATAATGTCTTGAAATGTCAAACTTCAGAGATTTAAATATTAAATAGAAAAATCATATTTTGATAAGTCGATATCCGGATTTGTATAGGATACTATGGCAAGCCAAGTTGTCATGTATTCATGGAGCAATGTTGATCAGTACTTAACCAACTTATATAAGATATCTTATATATTATATAAGATGTCTTATAAACATATCAGATATCTTATTTAAAGTTTATGAGATATCTTATATCTTTTATAAGATATCTTATATAATATATAAGATATCATACCTTTTATAAGATATCTCAATTAATTTTCTTTATAAGATATCTCATAAAGAAAATTAATTGAGATATCTTATAAAGACCGAGACTCTCGCGAGACGGACAAGGAAGAAATGTTTGAAAATGACTGCTCCCGTTGTAAGGTCACATCCGTTTTCGTTGGCGATAGTTTGGTTAAGTACTTGATCAAAATTGCTCCATGAATATAGGCAGCCATTTTCGATCAAATCCTCTCCGAACCCTTCCGTTATCGATATGTTCTGAGCGCTGTGGGGGAGGGTTTATTATCTCAAATTCATATCTCGTTCTATATAAGATATCTTATAACCGAATTATATAAGATGTCTCGTTTGATTTAGTTTATAAGATATCTTATATATTATATAAGATATCTTATAAAAGATATAAGATATCTCTTCTTTTTTTATAATATATCTTATATCCTTTATGAGATAAATATCTTATATAATATATAAGATATCTTATATCTTTTATGAAATATCTTATATAAGATATAAGATATCTTATAAAATATATAAGATATCTTATGAAGAAAAGTATATAAGTTATCTCATAAAGTATATACGATATATCATAAAGGATATAATATATCTGATTTAATTATGTAAGATATCTTATATAATTTGGTTAAGTACTGGATTAACATTGCTCCATGAATAAATGACAACTTGGCTTGCCATAGAATACAGTGGTATTTCATCTTTAGGAAGCAATATTTAACTAACAGTGCGATGAGTCATATATCAGCAGACATTACTCTAGAACGGTTGTTGTCATAGTTCAATTAACCACATGAAGTTTAACATATCTTATTATCATACGCTAAATACAATGATAAGGTTTATCATTGTCATTTCTGAACTCGAACATACTCATCTGTATAAATTTGCTAGTGCTGAAATAAAACCAACAGGGGGAACGGTGTTGTTTGTGGTGATTCGGGTACCAAAGAGATGACGTATTACTAAGATGTAGGAAGAGCGTGACAATTTCGATTTTCCTATCGTTAAGTTTCCCTTTCTTGATAATTACATCCTTTACAAACTTAAGCTGTTTATTTGTTACTTCCCTTGTTTTTGTATAATATCCATTAGTATACCTTGCTTTTTCTTTGTTACTTCCCTTGTTTTTGCAATGTGGACGTGACATTACTTGGATTTGACCAAAATTAATAGCGGAAACGGCAATGAAGCAAAAAATGCATCCCCTTCCGGATCACCTGGTCTTATATTCCTTGCGCCTTTTCAAGCGTTACCATATAAGTGTTTCCTTTTCCATATCTTGCCACCGGTTTTGTCGATTTAAAGTTCGAATTACGGTTTTGTAAGCATTTCATTTGGGCATTATCTTGTTTGTCTTTTCTGTAATACAAATTAGTTCCGCACAACGCGTGGCCGGGCTATATGACGGGATGGGAAACTGACTTTGCGTTGCATCCAGACGTTCCCCGTCACATTATATACTACGAGGATCTAAAACAGGTAGGTCGAGTAGGTGATCCTGATCAGATCATTTCTAACGCCATAATCGACTTCACGCATAGATATATTGCCAAAAACTGTTAACACAACGTCAATCTTTGTAAACTGGTTTGATCTAACTTTTTCTGTTTCTTTCACAGTCGCATACTAGGTGTATCTGCTCAGATTGTTTCTAACGCCATAATAGACTTACATTATGACAAATATATTTGTTTACAATTACTATCCAAATGAATATTGTTGGCGTTTGCAATTTGGTTTGATTTGACTCTTTTACTCCCACAGCTGTAGAATTAAGTGAAAGTCAATCGTATCAATGGACGGTTTAAAGCACATTTCCGTTTGCACTTGCCATATTTTTTTACTATTACACCTTTCTCTTACAGAACCCGGTTCATGAAGTTAAAATGTTAGCATCTTATCTGAATGTGACATGTACAGACTCATTCATAGATGAAATAGTTGACAAGTGTTCATTTGCAAAGCTGAAGGAGGGTAAAGCTGGCAGTCCTAAAAATATGAAGTGGAACTTCCTGTACCGAAAGGGTAATGTATACTTTGTAAAGGTTGTAACATCTTGTTCTAGGTACAGATTATGTGTACATTGTTACTAGTGTAATGTACTGTTCTAGGTAAAGGTAATGTGTGTCGTGTACATTGTTACTAGTGTAATGTACTGTTCTAGGTAAAGGTAATGTGTGTCGTGTACATTGTTACTAGTGTAATGTACTGTTCTAGGTAAAGGTAATGTGTGTCGTGTACATTGTTACTAGTGTAATGTACTGTTCTAGGTAAAGGTAATGTGTGTCGTGTACATTGTTACTAGTGTAATGTACTGTTCTAGGTAAAGGTAATGTGTGTCGTGTACATTGTTACTAGTGTAATGTACTGTTCTAGGTAAAGGTAATGTGTGTCGTGTACATTGTTACTAGTGTAATGTACTGTTCTAGGTAAAGGTAATGTGTGTCGTGTACATTGTTACTAGTGTAATGTACTGTTCTAGGTAAAGGTTATGTGTGTGGTGTAATTGTAACAGTTGCAATGTACTGTTCTATATAAAGGTAATGTGTGTCGTGTACATTGTTACTAGTGTAATGTACTGTTCTAGGTAAAGGTTATGTGTGTGGTGTAATTGTAACAGTTGCAATGTACTGTTCTATATAAAGGTTATGTGTGTCGTGTACATGTTACCATTGTAATGTATTGTTCCAGGTAAAGGTAATGTGTGTCGTGTACATTGTTACCGTTTTAATGTACTGTTCTATATAAAGGTAATGTGTGCTGTGTATATTGTTACAATTGCAATGTACTGTTCCAGGTAAAGGAAATGTGTGTGGTGTACATTGTCACAATTGTAATATTTTGTTCTACAGAGTTCTGTGTGAAGTTAATACAAATCAACACAATACCTCCCACACGCTATATCTGGAACAATCACGTGGCATTTTTGTCTTATGCTGTGTCTGAAAACTTATCCTTACTTAATAAAAAAAATCATCAGTATTACATAACCACATAGAAGTTGATATCCTTATTTAATTTAAGCATACCTTACTTGATATACAATGACAAGTACAAGTGTTTTGTGTTTTAGGTGAAGTAGGGGAATGGAAGAATTGGTTCACAGTGGCACAAAATGAAGAATTTGACAGGTTTTTACAAACTTCAACAAAAGACTCAAATTTTGTTTATAAATATACAATATAATGTATTTAGCGGAGTATACCCAGGTACTGTCTTGTTTAACAGAGCATTACAGAAAAACAAACTAAAGCGTCAAACTAACATCAAGCGTATTTTAAAAATAAATTCAAATTGATAATTCTATTGATTGTTAACTTATGCTTTTAAACAGAGAAATGGTTTGACCATGATTTCAATCATTAAACTAACTTTGGTTTGACTTGTAACATCAATAATTACACTTATTTTGGTTGAACTTCAAACGTCAAACACGACATTAACCCTAACCCTTACCCTAACCCTAACCCTAACTGGATCATCAAACATAACACTAACCCTAGCTGGATCAATGACACTAACCCCAGCTGGATCATCAAACATAACCCTTACCCTAGCTGGATCATCAAACATAACACTTACCCTAGCGGGATCATCAAACATAACATTAACCCTAGCTGGATCATCAAACAACACTAACCCTAGCTGGATCGTCAAACATAACACTTACCCTAGCTGGATCCTCAAGCATTACACTAACCCTAAGCTGGATCATCAAACATAACACTTACCCTAACTGGATCATCAAACATAACACTAACCCAAGCTGGAGCATCAAACATGACTCTAGCCCTAGTTGGATCATCAAACATAACACTAACCCTAGCTTGATCATCAAACACGACACTAACCCTAGCTGGATCATCAAACCCCCCACTAACCCTAGCTGGATCATCAAACATTACACTAACTAAGCTGGATCATCAAACATAACACTAACCGTAGCTGGATCATCAAACATGACACTAACCCTTGCTGGATCATCAAACATGACACTAACCCTAGTTGTATCATCAAACATAACACTAACCCTAGCTGGACCATCAAACATGACACTAACCCTAGCTGGATCATCAAACATAACGCTAACCCTAGCTGGATCATCAAACACGACACTAACCCTAGCTGGATCATCAAACAACACTTACCCTAGCTGGATCATCAAACACCACACTAACCCTATCTGGATCATCAAACATAACACTTACCCTTGCTGGATCATCAAACATAACACTTACCCTTGCTGGATCATCAAACATAACACTTACCCTAGCGGGATCATCAAACATAACACTAACCCTAGCTGGATCATCAAACATTACACTAACCCTAGCTGGATCAATGACACTAACCCCAGCTGGATCATCAAACATAACACTTACCCTAGCTGGATCATCAAACATAACACTTACCCTAGCTGGATCCTCAAACATTACACTAACCCTAAGCTGGATCATCAAACAAAACGCTAACCCTAGCTGGATCATCAAACATAACACTTACCCTAGCTGGATCATCAAACATGACACTAACCCTAGCTGGATCATCAAACATAACACTAACCCTAGCTGGATCATCAAACATGACACTAACCCTAGCTGGATCATCAAACATAACACTAACCCTAGCTGGATCATCAAACATGACACTAACCCTAGCTGGATCATCAAACATAACACTAACCCTAGCTGGATCATCAAACATGACACTAACCCTAGCTGGATCATCAAACATAACACTAACCCTAGCTGGATCATCAAACATGACACTAACCCTAGCTGGATCATCAAACATAACACTAACCCTAGCTGGATCATCAAACATGACACTAACCCTAGCTGGATCATCAAACATAACACTAACCCTAGCTGGATCATCAAACATGACACTAACCCTAGCTGGATCATCAAACATAACACTAACCCTAGCTGGATCATCAAACATGACACTAACCCTAGCTGGATCATCAAACATAACACTAACCCTAGCTGGATCATCAAACATGACACTAACCCTAGCTGGATCATCAAACATAACACTAACCCTAGCTGGATCATCAAACATAACACTAACCCTAGCTGGATCATCAAACATGACACTAACCCTAGCTGGATCATCAAACATAACACTAACCCTAGCTGGATCATCAAACATAACACTAACCCTAGCTGGATCATCAAACATGACACTAACCCTAGCTGGATCATCAAACATAACACTAACCCTAGCTGGATCATCAAACATGACACTAACCCTAGCTGGATCATCAAACATAACACTAACCCTAGCTGGATCATCAAACATGACACTAACCCTAGCTGGATCATCAAACATAACACTAACCCTAGCTGGATCATCAAACATAACACTAACCCTAGCTGGATCATCAAACATGACACTAACCCTAGCTGGATCATCAAACATAACACTAACCCTAGCTGGATCATCAAACATAACACTAACCCTAGCTGGATCATCAAACATGACACTAACCCTAGCTGGATCATCAAACATAACACTAACCCTAGCTGGATCATCAAACATGACACTAACCCTAGCTGGATCATCAAACATAACACTAACCCTAGCTGGATCATCAAACATAACACTAACCCTAGTTGGATCAACAAACAACACTAACCCTAGCTGGATCATCAAACATAACACTAGCCCTAGCTGGATCATCAAACATAACACTAACCCTTGTTGGATCATCAAACAACACTAACCCTAGCTGGATCATCAAACAACACACACACTAGCTGGATAAGCAAACATAACACCTACCCTAGCTGGATCATCAAACATAACACTAACCGTAGTTGGATCAACAAACAACACTAACCCTAGCTGGACCATCAAACATAACACTCACCCTAGCTGGATAAGCAAACATAACCCCTACCCTAGCTGGATCATCAAACATAACACTAACCTTAGCTGGATCATCAAACATAACACTAACCCTAGCTGGAACATCAAACATGACACTAACCCTAGCTGGATCATCAAATATGACACTAACCCTTGCTGGATCATCAAACATAACACTAACCCTAGCTGGATCATCAAACGTAACACTAACCCTAGTTGGATCATCAAACAACACTAACCCTAGCTTGATCATCAAACATAACACTCACCCTAGCTGGATAAGCAAACATAACACTAACCGTAGCTGGATCATCAAACATGACACTAACCCTAGTTGGATCATCAAACATAACAGTTACCCTAGCTGGATCATCAAACATAACACTAACCGTAGCTGGATCATCAAACATAACACTAACCCTAGTTGGATCATCAAACAACACTAACCCTAGCTGGATCATCAAACATAACACCTACCCTAGCTGGATCATCAAACATAACACCAACCCAAGCTGGATCATCAAACACGACACTAACCCTAGCTGGATCGTCAAACAACACTAACCCTAGCTGGATCATCAAACAACACTCACCCTAGCTGGAAAAGCAAACATAACACCTACCCTAGCTGGATCATCAAACATAACACTAACACTAGCTGGATCACCAAACATAACACTAACCCTAGTTGGATCAACAAGCAACACTAACCCTAGCTGGATCATCAAACATAACATTAACCCTTGTTGGATCATCAAACAACACTAACCCTAGCTGGATCATCAAACAACACACACACTAGCTGGATAAGCAAACATAACACCTACCCTAGCTGGATCATCAAACATAACACTAACACTAGCTGGATCACCAAACATAACACTAACCCTAGTTGGATCAACAAGCAACACTAACCCTAGCTGGATCATCAAACATAACAATAACCCTTGTTGGATCATCAAACAACACTAACCCTAGCTGGATCATCAAACAACACACACACTAGCTGGATAAGCAAACATAACACCTACCCTAGCTGGATCATCAAACATAACACTAACACTAGCTGGATCACCAAACATAACACTAACCCTAGTTGGATCAACAAACAACACTAGCCCTAGCTGGATCATCAAACAACACTCACCCTAGCTGGAAAAGCAAACATAACACCTACCCTAGCTGGATCATCAAACATAACACTAACCTTAGCTGGATCATCAAACATAACACTAACCCTAGCTGGATCAATGACACTAACCCTAGCTGGATCATCAAACATAACAATAACCCTTGTTGGATCATCAAACAACACTAACCCTAGCTGGATCATCAAACAACACTCACCCTAGCTGGAAAAGCAAACATAACACCTACCCTAGCTGGATCATCAAACATAACACCAACCCAAGCTGGATCATCAAACACGACACTAACCCTAGCTGGATCTAACCCTAGCTGGATCATCAAACATGACACTTACCCTAGTTGGATCATCAAACATAACAATTACCCTAGCTGGATCATCAAACATAACACTAACACTAGCTGGATCATCAAACATAACACTAACCCTAGCTGGATCATCAAACATAACACTAACCCTTGTTGGATCATCAAACAACACTAACCCTAGCTGGATCATCAAACAACACTCACCCTAGCTGGATAAGCAAACATAACACCTACCCTAGCTGGATCATCAAACATAACACTAACCCAAGCTGGAACATAAAACACGACCCTAACCCTAGCTGGATCATCACACATGACACTTACCCTAGCTGGATCATAAAACATAACACTAACCCTAGTTGGATCATCCTAGCTGGATCATCAAACACGACACTAACCCTAGCTGGATCATCAAACATAACACTTACCCTAGCTGGGTCTTCAAACATTACACTAACCCTAAGCTGGATCATCAAACATAACGCTAACCCTAGCTGGATCATCAAACATAACACTTACCCTAGCTTGGTCTTCAAACATTACACTAGCCCTAAGCTGGATCATCAAACATGACCCTAACCCTAGCTGGATCATTAAACATAACACTTACCCTAACTGGATCATCAAACATACCACTAACCCTAGCTGGATAATCAAACAAAACACTTACCCTAGCTGGGTCTGCAAACATTACACTAACCCTAAGCTCGATCATCAAACATAACGCTACCCCTAGCTGGATCATCAAATATAACACTTACCCTAGCTGGGTCTGCAAACATTACACTAACCCTAAGCTCGATCATCAAACATAACGCTAACCTTAGCTGGATCATCAAACATTCCACTTACTAAGCTGGATCATCACTGGATCATCAAACATGACCCTAACCCTAGCTGGATCATTAAACATAACACTTACCCTAACTGGATCATCAAACATACCACTAACCCTAGCTGGATAATCAAACAAAACACTTACCCTAGCTGGGTCTTCAAACATAACACTAACCCCAGCTGGATCATCAAACATAAAACTCACCTTAGCTGGATAAGCAAACATAACACTTACCCTAGCTGGATCATCAAAAATGACACTAACTCTTGCTGGATCATCAAACATAAAACTTACCCTAGCTGGATCAACAAACATAACACTAACCCTAAGCTGGATCATCAAACATGATACTTACCCTAGCTGGATCAACAAACATAACACTAACCCTATCTGGATCATCAAACATAACGCTACCCCTAGCTGGATCATCAAATATGACACTAACCCTTGCTGGATCATCAAACATGACACTCACCCTAGCTGGATCATCAAACAACACTTACCCTAGCTGGATCAACAAACATAACACTAACCCTAGCTGGCAATCATGACACTTACCCTAGCTGGACAATCAAACATAACACTAACCATAGCTGGATCATCAAACATAAAACTTACCCTAGCTGGATCATCAAACATAACACTAACCCTAGCTGGAACATCAAACATAACACTAACCCTAGCTGGATCATCAAACAACACTTACCCTAGCTGGATCATCAAACGTGGCACTAATTAACCCTGGTTGAACTCAAACTAAAGCATTATATAAACTCTGTATTAAAATTGTCTTGCGCAAAAAGAGTGCAGGTTGGTACTCTTTCAGAAACCCTGGAGGTCATCTTGGATTTGTTTGGATCAGCATGAAAACAGCACTTGACCAAACCGCCAGGATCTATTTGAACCAATATTGGATTGAACTTGGTTTTAAGTCATTAAGAAGCGAGGTTTACTTCCTGATTCGCTCGTTTCGTAATCAGGTATATTGCTGATGTTTTCACATGCATTTTTTATGCCATTACCAAGATTTACTACCAAAGGGCTTCAGTCTGTAAAATTCTATGATGTTTGGGTGACACGATTTCATCGAACTTTACACGATATATCATGATGTAAACCACAGGATTTTGATGTCTTCCCCTTCCTGACACGATGTCTGACATGGTTAGTGAGTTGCTCTGAAACACTTCACGTGTTTGAAATACCCCAGGCTCTCATATGGGTGTTTCAAACCACAGGGACCTGATAATTTGTTACAGATATACACCTTAGTTTATGTCCAAATATAGCTGTATTAAATTCTCAGGTCCCTGTGTTTCAAACCAGGGGCCGTGGTGGCCAAGTGGTTAAGGCGTCCAACATTCTGCTACCACTAGCCCTCAACCAATAGGTCGCGTGTTCGAGGCCTACGTGGAACAGTCGCCAGGTACTGGCTGTAGGTCGGTGGTTTTTCTCCAGGAACTCCAGCTTTCCCCCAACCAAAACCTGGCACGTCCTTAAATGACCATAGCTGTTAATGGGAGGTGAAACACAAACAAATGTTTCAAACCAACAATGTGTGCATGACATTACCTACATGTATTATAATAGTTTGATCACTATTGACGCCTATCCAAGTTGAATAAACTAGTTCGTTTGAGATCCATGTGAATCTTTCGAGTTTGAGATACCCATACGATTCTTTGAGAAGAATTTCAAACACACCAAGTCCAATTCTGTTTCAAATCAATATATAGTGAGCCCATGCCAGACACTTAATGTACCAAAGATGATAATACAACCGAAAAACAGTTAGAAGGCCCTGTATATAAACTGCTTCAGCAAGACTGTTCACGGTGATCAATACCTCACAACACACACCAAAGAAACACCTGGATGGTCCTATTAAGTAGCTGTCTGGACGAGACGGTTCAAGTTGATTAACGACTAAAAAATGTACAAGAACTGATTTCTTGAGCACAAATGACTTTAAGAAGTCAGCCCTCTTTGGTTGTCGTGTAAAACATCAATTCGAGTCATAATACCATTAACACTGAAGAGAGGACAACCCCGACAAATATATATATCTAGCTATACAAGCCGACCTTCAACCAGGACCAGGAAGACACCGGCCCCCAGATGTCTATCAGTCTCCTGCAATCATGTATCTTTAAGCAAGGTCATTAAACTTCTGGTAACACCTGCCAAGTTTCAGTCCAACTGAGTTAAGCCACAGTAGAGGTGGAAATATTTCAATATGTAGTATCTTTAACAAGATTTTAACATCACAATACATGTTTACCAATCCAGATTAAAATCGTTTCCTAATACATGAATGTATTTACAATATTGCATTCATAATCTTACCATTGAGAAACATTCTACAAAATAAATAAATACAACAGTTCTTTCAGAAAAAGGATTTATTTGAAATAAAAAAAAAGAAATATCACAGTCTATGTTGTTAAATGTAATCCTAAATAGTAAAACATCACAACCAGAAAACACGTCTATAACATATAACGAATACAATATACTAAGCTGCCAATTAACTACAGTGTAATCCTCCTCCACACAACACTGTCTCTGCTAACACGGTTACAGTTTAACAATAATAATAATAATAATAATAATTTGAGGTTCTTATATACTGCTTTATCACAACCTAGTTCGTAGGTCGTCTCAAAGCGGGTCACAAATTATTATCCGTGGTTATAGGGCCTTTGCAACCAGCCAATACCTTTCTCAACTCCATAGGGAGCATATAGCCAGAGCTGCCATTTCGGCGCTAACAGCTAGCATTCAACAATTCTAGCACTGCCCAACCACATACTCATTTACAGCTGAGTGAACGGGAACAAGCAGAGTAAAGTATCTTGGTCAAAGATACAACACAGTGCCGTGTCTCGGACCTGCAACCGTTATGAGCCCGGCGTCCTACAACTAGACTACTGTGCCTCCGGAATAATCAGAATAACATAGTCTCATTAATTATGCATAAATATATAACTATGCATGCATCAAATTGGCAATCAAAATTGCCCTAATGCTTGCCATTACATATGAGCTTCATATGAGTCTTGTGTTTACATATGTACATTTTAGGACAGATATTGAATGAGACTAAGGGGGGACTGATAGACAGAAAAATATCCCTTTTTCTCAGAAAAGTAGGGGGTTAACAAAGTCAAACCTGGTAGATTGCATAGCTGATACCTGGCCTCAACATCACCATCACTTTGAGTCTACTTAAAGATTTAGAGATTTATAACTCAAATAAATGTACATAAAAAGTTTACAAATGAGGGGATAATGAGTCACTCATAGTGCTATATGGAGGAATGTGTACAACAACCTAATGAAAACATCTACATATCTAAATAAAAGTTTAAATCGCCAACTTTATCGTTACATTAAGTATAACTTAATTATTTCTCTTAATATACTCAGTAATCTATAAAACATGATAGGAAATCACCTCAAACACCATGAGACAACCAATCACAACTTACTGGATCAAATAACAATTGATGGGTGATAAAATAATACAGGTTACCTAGCCTGTAGTCGAGTTTAAAATACAGCAATGTACAATAAGTAGGAATGTATCAATATTATATGGACAGATAAAGTATGTTTAAACGAGCAATTATTTAACAGCTGCCTTTCTCTTTTAATCAACTTGTAATGATCGGTATCGTCTGTGAAATTCTTAATTACGTTAGAACAGATGAAATTTTGCATTGAACACGCTATCTTTGTGATAAAATCAGTCAGACATGGAAATAGTACTTCATGCCTTTTTCGCAACTTTGACACATCTCTGACACATCTCTGACACATCTTTGACACATCTCTGACACATCTTTGACACATCTTTGACACATCTTTGACACAACTTTGACACATCTCTGACACATCTCTGACACATCTTTGACACATCTTTGACACATTTCTGACACATCTTTGCAGCACGTCTTAACTCCTCTGCTGACTTTTAACCTAAAATCATGAATTCAACTCAATTGCAGATGGATAAATTGAACATTCATTTTTTTCAATTTCCCATCCACTTTATAGTTATGAGGCATATCAGAGTGGATGGCTTGGGAAGTGACCAACAGCTCTGCTATCACCAGCTTTCTACAGTCGAGTTCTGTGAACTGTTTACAAGGTTTTCTGTGCTTATTGTAGTCTATTTGTCAACCAAGTACCCATGTGACGGCAGACAGCGCCCCTTCTTTAAACTATCATCCAACCATTTTTCATATACAACCACAGCTTCATCTGGGATCACAAGGGATTTCCTGTCCTGCAAACATACAGATACATGCTTTATAGATTACATATGTATAAAATAGATTTCAAAAACACAATTTGTGTTAGTTTATATGTAAGGTGACTATTTAAACAGCCTTGTAAAGTCATTCTCGATATCCAGGGGTTACGCTCACTTTCGCTCTCTTCACCCCTGGAATATGTCCTAGCAAAATTGAAGGCTCGGTGTGCGCCACCTTGTTGATGAGACAAGGAGACTAGTTTGATCCTTTTATATACATCACAAGAATCTTGCGGTCACATAACAGTAAAAGTTGACAGGCTTTGAAGTTGGGCATCTCTCCTTTGTAATCTTCAAAGGACAGGTATCAGCCTAGCGATTGGTCTTTTTTTCCAATCGAACAGCTATCTTTGTGCCTTCAATTTTGCCATGACGTATTCCAGGGGTGTAGAGAGCGAAAGTGAATGTAACCCCTGGATATCGTGGATGTGTAAAGTAGGATGCTGTGAGGAACCGCCAAAGTCCCTTCTCCAGTGGCCCTATAAATAGTAATGCCTCATGGTGAATCATCAGGTCCACAACCATTTAATCTTATGTAGTGTTGTTGTAGGAGAAACCATTGAGTCCCTAGTAATGGTAGCCTTATACCTTTGGGATATTGTAGGGAACTTCTGGATGCCTAAATCTTGAGAGCCTTATGGATGCCTAAATCTTGAGAGCCTTATGGATGCCTAAATCTTGAGAGCCTTATTGATGCCTAAATCTTCAGAGCCTTTTGGATGCCTAAATCTTGAGAGCCATATGGATGCCTAAATCTTGAGAGCCTTATGGATGCCTAAATCTTTTGAGCCTTATGAAAGCCTAAATCTTGAGAGCCTTATGGATGCCTAAATCTTGAGCCTTATGGATGCCTAAATCTTGAGAGCCTTATGGATGCCTAAATATTGAGAGCCTTATGGATGCCTAAATCTCGAGAGCCTTATGGATGCCTAAATCTTGACCCTTATGGATGCCTAAATCTTGAGAGCCTTTTGGATGCCTAAATCTTGAGAGCCTTATGGATGCCTAAATCTTAAGAGCCTTATGGATGCCTAAATTTTGAGAGCCTTATGGATGCCTAAATCTTGAGAGCCATATTGATGCCTAAATCTTGAGAGCCTTATGGATGCCTAAATCTTGAGAGCCATAGGGATGCCTAAATCTTGAGAGCCTTATGGATGCCTAAATCTTGAGAGCCTTATGGATGCCTTAATCTTGAGAGCCTTTTGGATGCCTAAATCTTGAGAGCCTTATGACCGTCGGGAAGCGTTTGCAATAGAATACTGCTAGGATACATCAGGGCAGAACATTGGTAGTCAAATGCACTATGGCATGAGCATGTGGAACTTCTATGCACTGCTCGAGTATAGTCAAATTTAACAAAGGAAGGATATGCTGGACAGTATTGTCAGATTCAGTAGAAGAAAGATTTGCCGGAGAGTAAGGTCAGGTTCAGCAGAAAAGTATTTTTAGAGACTTTAATCTGGTTTGGCAGAGGCAAGAAAGCGTTTCAGAGAGCTCTTTAACTGGCTTACCTCTGTTGAGCAGGTAGAGTGGACTATCACATGGGTCGTCTTGTCTCCTATGGCAACCTCAACATCAGCATCATAAGTGTAGACATTAAAGAAGAATCTGATACAAACTATGTGTTACATGATCCCATATTTAGGAAAGTTTTTACACTGTTAGGAAACCAGATAAGACTGATCAAACCATATACATCAACACGTTCTTAACCAGTTAAACATCAGGCAGATAGCAATATAAAATCTGTGTATATGTGAATGGAGTAAGATCCCATGTCCAGCTAATAAGCTCTGTTAAACTGTTGGTATCAAACCCAGTTAAACTCCTGGTAGCAAGCCCTGCTGAAAAATTGAACTAATAGCACATGCCTACTGAAATTGAACTAGTCTAATAACAAGCCTGCTGAACTTGGACTTCTGATAACAAACCCTGCTGAACTTTAAATAATTCCTGATTATCTTTAATCACATGGAAATTATTTTAACCGAATACCTTACAACAGAATAATGCAGGTACTTGTACGTTAAAAAGATACTTCTGAGAGGCAAAAATACTTGTTTGTTTTGTCCACCAATTCACAGTATATCTGGTTTCAATATCAGCATACTATAGCATTCATGATCCTACATTACCAAATAAATTTCATAGAATTGAGGCAGAAAAATCAGAAATCTTTATCTTTGTAACTTTTCAAGCTGTGATAATTCAAGCAGAATCAATGTATACAAGGATATGCCACTAAATATCGCCGGTATCTCTTGATCTGGTCAGCAGCCATATTGGACGGATGCAGGTAGGCGGTGACGCCATGGAAGATATCTAGGAGGGTATGAGGTTTGTTCTCCTCCTCCTCCTTAAAGCTGACAGTAGATATCTTCTTCTCTTCAAATGTACAACCACATATATGTCAACATTAAGTCTTACGAAGAATACAACAAAAGTACAACCTCAAATATTTTAGCATTAAGTATTATGTAGAAATATAGGGTACCGTAGATTACCGGGGTACTTACATTTTGTGATATTTAATTCCTATTAATTTTTGTGAAGAATTTTATCCTGAATTCAAGTGAAAAGTGAACTAACATCTCCAAGAATAAGAACAGAAAATCCAATTCAAGAAAATAAGTGTGAGCAAAAAGCGAGTATCTACAGTATCTTATTGCACTTAACAAATATAGTAACAGTTAAGTGATATTCCCGACACATTGTATACTTTACACTGACTGGAGATACAGCATATAGCCAGATTACTGTATACCAGGAAACTGTTGCCCAGTCAAACTGTTGCCCTACACCGGTAAACTTTATATCCACCCAGTGTCAATTTTGCCTTTCATATTTGATTGCTATGTTCATTATATTATTTAAGAATGTTCACTGTACTGTTAAAAGGCAAACATCAAACTGCAGTGAGCATTTCTAGTACATTTGTAATACAGTATAGCAGTTTACCCAATAACTGCAAGATTTTATAGCTGGTGGGTAATAAATCCAATATATATCTTGTCGTACAAAGGACTTGGGATTGTTATACCTTCAATACAGACCACAGTACAATGAGTACCCCGACTACTTATGAAGAGTCTTTTTCTATTTGAGTGTGACACATTATCAGGTAACTTATCTAGGTCTGTATACTTACTTTTAGCTGGTGGATCACTATCTTCTGAAGATTTCCTCTTTAAAAGTTGCTGTTTACGTGGATAGTAATAACTGGTTGAAGTTAAAGAGTTTTTGTTTGCATGTTCCTAACTAAAGGTAAATCATAATTTGAATATTTTCAAGTCTCATTTAGAATGTGCTGATTTCGTTTTCTTCCCTCCTCAAAGGAACATCTCTAAAAAGTTATCAGACAGCAAAAAACTAATTTACATGATTTGGTCTTCTTTAGAAGGAAAATATTCCTGCATTTATATATATATAAAAAAGATACTTTGTTTTGTATTAATTGTAGAGAGACAACCAGGTCAAACCCATGACTTCCAGCACACCAGAGCTCAACTAATTATATAATGTTATAACATGCTTACACCTGTTTAGTATCATTGCCATTCTTATTTTTTACTTTATTTTTGTGTTTATGTGTTCTCTAAAAATCTAAAGATACGAAATGTAAAAACATATGTAGAAATTTTCAGATCAGCCTCAAAATTCATTTTGAAAATTTTCCTTTACAATTCTTTAATATTACCAGGCTTTGAACACCAGTGCCCATGTAGCTGAAATATAAAAAAAAAAAAAACATCTTTAATCTGATTAGCTGAAGGTTTGATTCGATACTCAATATGTGGACAAAGCTTTCTGGTAAATGAACTACTAAAATAATCTAAGGTTAAAAGAAGGATACATGAAGGTTGGAATGCCTTCTGCTGTAAGGTGTTTCTTGATGAGTCTCTCAGTACCATACCAGTTAAACCAAGGAGTGTCGTGTCCAATTCTTGGAAGATGTACACTGGCTGTAAACACATTAACAATGTGAAATTATTGGATGAAATTGATGATATTGTTTATCTGGCTATAAAAGTAGTTAACCTAATGTGAATCTTCCTGTTTTGGCATTTTTTTCCACTTGCAAAATGAGATATTTTACCACAGGATTGAAAGACATTTACCTTCATAATCTAGAAATTATTATGACTTCTAAATTTGATACGAAAATATTTCAAAAAAACCCAACAACAAATAATTGTTATTTGTTATTCCTCATCTGATGTCAATCATTCAATAGCAAGGCCGCCATATAACCCTTCCAACTTAAGATGGCATCTGTATCAGCTTAATTACCCAGGGCCATTTTGTGTTTCATCATTATCATGCCATTGTAATGTGTAACATTAGATAATACTGACTCTTAAAGGTGGCTGTTTTATCGACTGAACAATCATACACCATTATAATTCAATGATGAATGTCAATACATTAAATATTTTTCAAATAAGAGTAAGATATTTCCAAAATGTAATATAAGGCATACTTTGTGTTGAATTAGTAAATTTCCTGTTGGCATTCATATTGACTACGAAAAACCCCAACAGAGAGCATTTCAATGTTTAAATGAATATTTATTCAGTAGTTCAATACATTCTTCTTATAACAACAGGTACATTTTTTCATTTAAAAACCCAGTATCCTACCAGGTAAATGTTTCGTCAACCATTTGATTCCATGGGTCTCTGGCAAATTTATCAATAAAGTTAACGTTATCGCTATGAGGACAGTGATTTACAGGTGTATTTATGTAGAGGTATGTGTTACACATAAACAATGGAATTCCAGATACAAACTTGCTTTTGCTGCGATATTTGTTGCTGCTGAGAGTTACCTTTTCTTGCTTTAGCGAGGTAGTGAACAGCCTTAAGACCTTGCTGAAGGGCAGACAACTTTATACCAGACAGGTTGTTCCTCTTATCCCTGTGCTGGGCTATCACCAGGGCTAACTACAAGTGAAACAGATTCATCTAAACTCTTATATAGGGTACATTTGCATATCCGGTTGAAACGGTTGAACCGGTTGAACCTGTAAAGAAAACAACTGGTACAGACCTGACCTCAAGAAAATTTGGCACGTGTAGATTGAGGGGTCCAGACATACCTGGCTGAAACTAAAATGCTGACTATTGCTAGTTTGCGTTATTTCTTTCTTAAACAATGTCAAGCCACATGTAGTTTTTAAGATACATTATGTAATTCAGTGGACGCGTGAGAGAAGGGCACAATATTCTTGATACATTGTTTTTTATTCTCTGAAACTGTGCATTTTAAGCTCTGCTTATAGAACGGTCCAAGTGCGTTGGTTTATCGTGGAATATTTCTGTGCCACACATACTGTTTCAACCGGGATACGCGAATGTAGCTCTAAACTCATCAGTAGTGTCACTAAGTGTATATTACTGGGCTCAGAACCATCAATAGTTTCATTGCAGAGAAATATAATATAATAACAAAATGTCTTTAGAAAATCAACAGAATTTCAATTAAGATTGGTTCACACTGATCCTATAGAAACAAAAATATTTTAGGAACAAGAATGTTACCAACCCAGTCTTCCTCTCCATCTCGAGTGTGATTGTCGTCAAGAGCAATGAGATGACAGTTCCCTAGAGCCAAATCTACAGAAACAAGGTTTCATTGATCTATTATTTTCCCATTGATAATGTAAAAGATTTTTCACTGCATTTATGTTTACACATGAAGTTAATGCTTCACTGAAAGTTAATATAAGGCCAGTACATGTCAATGGCATAAAGTCAATGCTATTAGTGCTTCACTGAAAGTTAATATAAGGCCAGTACATGTCAGTGGCATAAAGTCAATGCTATTAGTGCTTCACTGAAAGTTAATATAAGGCCAGTACATGTCAGTGGCATAAAGTCAATGCTATTAGTGCTTCACTGAAAGTTAATATAAGGCCAGTACATGTCAGTGGCATAAAGTCAATGCTATTAGTGCTTCACTGAAAGTTAATATAAGGCCAGTACATGTCAGTGGCATAAAGTCAATGCTATTAGTGCTTCACTGAAAGTTAATATAAGGCCAGTACATGTCAGTGGCATAAAGTCAATGCTATTAGTGCTTCACTGAAAGTTAATATAAGGCCAGTACATGTCAGTGGCATAAAGTCAATGCTATTAGTGCTTCACTGAAAGTTAATATAAGGCCAGTACATGTCAGTGGCATAAAGTCAATGCTATTAGTGCTTCACTGAAAGTTAATATAAGGCCAGTACATGTCAGTGGCATAAAGTCAATGCTATTAGTGCTTCACTGAAAGTTAATATAAGGCCAGTACATGTCAGTGGCATAAAGTCAATGCTATTAGTGCTTCACTGAAAGTTAATATAAGGCCAGTACATGTCAGTGGCATAAAGTCAATGCTATTAGTGCTTCACTGAAAGTTAATATAAGGCCAGTACATGTCAGTGGCATAAAGTCAATGCTATTAGTGCTTCACTGAAAGTTAATATAAGGCCAGTACATGTCAGTGGCATAAAGTCAATGCTATTAGTGCTTCACTGAAAGTTAATATAAGGCCAGTACATGTCAGTGGCATAAAGTCAATGCTATTAGTGCTTCACTGAAAGTTAATATAAGGCCAGTACATGTCAGTGGCATAAAGTCAATGCTATTAGTGCTTCACTGAAAGTTAATATAAGGCCAGTACATGTCAGTGGCATAAAGTCAATGCTATTAGTGCTTCACTGAAAGTTAATATAAGGCCAGTACATGTCAGTGGCATAAAGTCAATGCTATTAGTGCTTCACTGAAAGTTAATATAAGGCCAGTACATGTCAGTGGCATAAAGTCAATGCTATTAGTGCTTCACTGAAAGTTAATATAAGGCCAGTACATGTCAGTGGCATAAAGTCAATGCTATTAGTGCTTCACTGAAAGTTAATATAAGGCCAGTACATGTCAGTGGCATAAAGTCAATGCTATTAGTGCTTCACTGAAAGTTAATATAAGGCCAGTACATGTCAGTGGCATAAAGTCAATGCTATTAGTGCTTCACTGAAAGTTAATATAAGGCCAGTACATGTCAGTGGCATAAAGTCAATGCTATTAGTGCTTCACTGAAAGTTAATATAAGGCCAGTACATGTCAGTGGCATAAAGTCAATGCTATTAGTGCTTCACTGAAAGTTAATATAAGGCCAGTACATGTCAGTGGCATAAAGTCAATGCTATTAGTGCTTCACTGAAAGTTAATATAAGGCCAGTACATGTCAGTGGCATAAAGTCAATGCTATTAGTGCTTCACTGAAAGTTAATATAAGGCCAGTACATGTCAGTGGCATAAAGTCAATGCTATTAGTGCTTCACTGAAAGTTAATATAAGGCCAGTACATGTCAGTGGCATAAAGTCAATGCTATTAGTGCTTCACTGAAAGTTAATATAAGGCCAGTACATGTCAGTGGCATAAAGTCAATGCTATTAGTGCTTCACTGAAAGTTAATATAAGGCCAGTACATGTCAGTGGCATAAAGTCAATGCTATTAGTGCTTCACTGAAAGTTAATATAAGGCCAGTACATGTCAGTGGCATAAAGTCAATGCTATTAGTGCTTCACTGAAAGTTAATATAAGGCCAGTACATGTCAGTGGCATAAAGTCAATGCTATTAGTGCTTCACTGAAAGTTAATATAAGGCCAGTACATGTCAGTGGCATAAAGTCAATGCTATTAGTGCTTCACTGAAAGTTAATATAAGGCCAGTACATGTCAGTGGCATAAAGTCAATGCTATTAGTGCTTCACTGAAAGTTAATATAAGGCCAGTACATGTCAGTGGCATAAAGTCAATGCTATTAGTGCTTCACTGAAAGTTAATATAAGGCCAGTACATGTCAGTGGCATAAAGTCAATGCTATTAGTGCTTCACTGAAAGTTAATATAAGGCCAGTACATGTCAGTGGCATAAAGTCAATGCTATTAGTGCTTCACTGAAAGTTAATATAAGGCCAGTACATGTCAGTGGCATAAAGTCAATGCTATTAGTGCTTCACTGAAAGTTAATATAAGGCCAGTACATGTCAGTGGCATAAAGTCAATGCTATTAGTGCTTCACTGAAAGTTAATATAAGGCCAGTACATGTCAGTGGCATAAAGTCAATGCTATTAGTGCTTCACTGAAAGTTAATATAAGGCCAGTACATGTCAGTGGCATAAAGTCAATGCTATTAGTGCTTCACTGAAAGTTAATATAAGGCCAGTACATGTCAGTGGCATAAAGTCAATGCTATTAGTGCTTCACTGAAAGTTAATATAAGGCCAGTACATGTCAGTGGCATAAAGTCAATGCTATTAGTGCTTCACTGAAAGTTAATATAAGGCCAGTACATGTCAGTGGCATAAAGTCAATGCTATTAGTGCTTCACTGAAAGTTAATATAAGGCCAGTACATGTCAGTGGCATAAAGTCAATGCTATTAGTGCTTCACTGAAAGTTAATATAAGGCCAGTACATGTCAGTGGCATAAAGTCAATGCTATTAGTGCTTCACTGAAAGTTAATATAAGGCCAGTACATGTCAGTGGCATAAAGTCAATGCTATTAGTGCTTCACTGAAAGTTAATATAAGGCCAGTACATGTCAGTGGCATAAAGTCAATGCTATTAGTGCTTCACTGAAAGTTAATATAAGGCCAGTACATGTCAGTGGCATAAAGTCAATGCTATTAGTGCTTCACTGAAAGTTAATATAAGGCCAGTACATGTCAGTGGCATAAAGTCAATGCTATTAGTGCTTCACTGAAAGTTAATATAAGGCCAGTACATGTCAGTGGCATAAAGTCAATGCTATTAGTGCTTCACTGAAAGTTAATATAAGGCCAGTACATGTCAGTGGCATAAAGTCAATGCTATTAGTGCTTCACTGAAAGTTAATATAAGGCCAGTACATGTCAGTGGCATAAAGTCAATGCTATTAGTGCTTCACTGAAAGTTAATATAAGGCCAGTACATGTCAGTGGCATAAAGTCAATGCTATTAGTGCTTCACTGAAAGTTAATATAAGGCCAGTACATGTCAGTGGCATAAAGTCAATGCTATTAGTGCTTCACTGAAAGTTAATATAAGGCCAGTACATGTCAGTGGCATAAAGTCAATGCTATTAGTGCTTCACTGAAAGTTAATATAAGGCCAGTACATGTCAGTGGCATAAAGTCAATGCTATTAGTGCTTCACTGAAAGTTAATATAAGGCCAGTACATGTCAGTGGCATAAAGTCAATGCTATTAGTGCTTCACTGAAAGTTAATATAAGGCCAGTACATGTCAGTGGCATAAAGTCAATGCTATTAGTGCTTCACTGAAAGTTAATATAAGGCCAGTACATGTCAGTGGCATAAAGTCAATGCTATTAGTGCTTCACTGAAAGTTAATATAAGGCCAGTACATGTCAGTGGCATAAAGTCAATGCTATTAGTGCTTCACTGAAAGTTAATATAAGGCCAGTACATGTCAGTGGCATAAAGTCAATGCTATTAGTGCTTCACTGAAAGTTAATATAAGGCCAGTACATGTCAGTGGCATAAAGTCAATGCTATTAGTGCTTCACTGAAAGTTAATATAAGGCCAGTACATGTCAGTGGCATAAAGTCAATGCTATTAGTGCTTCACTGAAAGTTAATATAAGGCCAGTACATGTCAGTGGCATAAAGTCAATGCTATTAGTGCTTCACTGAAAGTTAATATAAGGCCAGTACATGTCAGTGGCATAAAGTCAATGCTATTAGTGCTTCACTGAAAGTTAATATAAGGCCAGTACATGTCAGTGGCATAAAGTCAATGCTATTAGTGCTTCACTGAAAGTTAATATAAGGCCAGTACATGTCAGTGGCATAAAGTCAATGCTATTAGTGCTTCACTGAAAGTTAATATAAGGCCAGTACATGTCAGTGGCATAAAGTCAATGCTATTAGTGCTTCACTGAAAGTTAATATAAGGCCAGTACATGTCAGTGGCATAAAGTCAATGCTATTAGTGCTTCACTGAAAGTTAATATAAGGCCAGTACATGTCAGTGGCATAAAGTCAATGCTATTAGTGCTTCACTGAAAGTTAATATAAGGCCAGTACATGTCAGTGGCATAAAGTCAATGCTATTAGTGCTTCACTGAAAGTTAATATAAGGCCAGTACATGTCAGTGGCATAAAGTCAATGCTATTAGTGCTTCACTGAAAGTTAATATAAGGCCAGTACATGTCAGTGGCATAAAGTCAATGCTATTAGTGCTTCACTGAAAGTTAATATAAGGCCAGTACATGTCAGTGGCATAAAGTCAATGCTATTAGTGCTTCACTGAAAGTTAATATAAGGCCAGTACATGTCAGTGGCATAAAGTCAATGCTATTAGTGCTTCACTGAAAGTTAATATAAGGCCAGTACATGTCAGTGGCATAAAGTCAATGCTATTAGTGCTTCACTGAAAGTTAATATAAGGCCAGTACATGTCAGTGGCATAAAGTCAATGCTATTAGTGCTTCACTGAAAGTTAATATAAGGCCAGTACATGTCAATGGCATAAAGTCAATGCTATTAGTGCTTCACTGAAAGTTAATATAAGGCCAGTACATGTCAATGGCATAAAGTCAATGCTATTAGTGCTTCACTGAAAGTTAATATAAGGCCAGTACATGTCAATGGCATAAAGTCAATGCTATTAGTGCTTCACTGAAAGTTAATATAAGGCCAGTACATGTCAATGGCATAAAGTCAATGCTATAAGTGCATGAATTCTTTATTTCAATTAATCAGAATTTAATTATCATGGTACTCACTACAACAACAAAAGTAGTTGAAGTGTTAAAAAATTCACAAGCATGAAATGTGTATGACTATACATAATTTCTTTATTTCATTACTAGATTAAGTCCACTCTTTGTTGTACGTTTATAGTGAAATAGGGTTTGTACTAGGTCTAAGCTCACTCCTTATTTTAGGAACCAGTTTCCATGTCAAATTTTTGACTCTCTCTTTTCTTTCTGTTATTTTATAGAGAATATTACTACTAGAGTGGGAACATTTAGATCTTTGTGAGTGAAGAGTGATGTGGAAACCATTCTGAAACTGTTTGTATACATGTCTCTATCTCAAAGATAATAAACTCAAAATTAAGTGTTTTTTCCAAATTTTGCCATTGTTATGCACTTTTGAGAAAGACCGCCTCAACTGAAGGTATGTCCTACCTCCCATATCTCCCGCTAACTCATACTGCTCCTGTGGTGCTGAGGATCGTCGTCCAATCGCAGAGAACAGACCCCCTCGACCCCAGCTTCCAGAGTCATCTGACAAAAAATTAACCATAACACTTAAGAAGGTATATCACAATTTCTGTATATAGTAATCCTCTGAGAGTTATTTACAGCATTATATGTCACCTAATGTTTCCAGTCGTATTTGACATAATAACAATTACCTTATTTAGAGATGGATTTTTTTTAGACTCGTGCATTTTTTCAAAGTACGTCAAGGTACTAAGTACACACAATATATAATCATATATAACATTTGAAAAATATTAAATCCACGAAATTTCCAGGAGAAGAATTCTTTTCTTCTGTGAAGGGATGGGCACATAACACAGATGATATACCTAGAATTTTTGTCCTCTGTTAAGGACAAGAAACACTGATTAGTTACCTAGACCTCCATATGGGGAGGGCAGGAAATGCTGATACTTACGACCTCCATATGGGGATCGAGGACAGGAAATACTGATACTTACCTGCACAGTGTACAATGACATTGACTTGTGTCCCTCCAGTAACTGGGCATGTCACATCCCCACTGACATAGCTGATAGACCTATTCTTAGCAACTCCTCCATCTTCCTCTTCTTGAGTGAGATCAAATTCCTCCTCATCTTCCCCATTCTCTTCCTCCTCCTCATCACTCTCAATCTGTACACAGGAAGAAATGTACCCTGCTGCATTCCACATGTCTTCTCTGTCAAGTAAAAGAGGAAAGTTTATAATCCAAATTCGTTTAAGGGCATTTAAGTGACCCTATCAATGGAAACAACCTGGCAGCACTTTGCCTTATTTCTAAGGTAATCGAACAGTTGTCTACAATGAGAATATGTGCTACTTTACAAAATCATATATGATTTTTTTTATAGGGCTATCTCCCTTTAGGATAAAAGCTATTTTGGGTACATTCGCGTATCCGGTTAAAATGGTTGGACCGGTTGAGCCTGTAAAGAAAATGACAGGCACAGATCTGAACCAAGGCTGACCTCAGGAATATTCGGCACGTGTAGATTGAGGGGTCCAGAGGACCTGACCAAAACTAAAATGCTGACTATTGCTAGTTTGTGTTATTTCTTCCTAAAACTAGAACACTGACAGGTCAGTAAGGGCCCCTTCTTGTGGCAATATATCCCGCATAATCATCAAGAAGCAATCTGCCCATATAGCTGAGCTTAACGTTTGACATGTGGACTTCAAAAAGAGTCGCAAAGAAGCAAAATATACATTTTACATGTACTATGATGTGAGTCTTGTTTCCTTCCACCTCCATATTTGCTGGGCTGACAGAAATGTAAATACTGGTGCAATACTCATTTGTTAGCTTTGATTTGTTTTATTTCATCTTATATACCTCCTCCATCAAGAGCCAGGGTCAAAGTCAGAGGTCCACTTTGTCTTTGATCTTTGGACCCAAATGACCTTAACCATTAACCCAGTGACCCTGATATTTTGTCAGTTGACTTATTCTTTAATTCAGACCAACTTTACTTCTTAATATAATAACAAAATGTTCATCAGTGAAAAATACAAAACTTGACCTTGACCCTTTGAACCCCGTGACCTGGACCTAAGGTCAGTTGACTCTGTGTTCAGAGCAACATTGCTTCATAATGTCATAACAAAATGTTCATCAGGGAAAAGGTACAAAATTTAACCTTCACCTTTGACCCAGTGACCTTGACTTTTGGTCAATTGACTCCTTGTTTAATTCTGAGCAACATTGCTTCAAAGTGTCATTGCAAAATGTTCACAAGTGGAAGGATACAAAATTTAACCTTGAACTTTGACCCAATGACCTTGAACTTTATTCAGTCGACTCCTTGTTTAATTCTGATCAACTTTGCTTCATCATGTCATAACAAAATGTTCATGAGTGAAAAGATGCAAAAATTTGACCTTGGCCTTTGAATCTAATGACCTTGACCTTTGACCGCAGTGTGTCTCTTTGTTAAATTCCGAACAACTTTGCTTAATAATGTCATAGCGGTTTGTTCAATAGTGAAAAGCTACTAAATTTGACCATGACCCCTGAACCGATGACATTGACCTTAGGTCAGTTGACTCCTTGTTTAATTCTGATCAACTTTGCTTCATAATGTCATAACAAAATGTTCATCAGTGAAAAGATGTAAAATTTGACCTTGACCTTTGAACCTAATGACCTTGACCTTTGACCTTGACTTTTTACCTCAATGTGTATTTTTGTGAACTGAACATCTTGACCAAGTTTCATGTACTATTATTACAAACCTTTGATCCTCTCTGCTCCTTTCTCATAACTTATCTTTGCTTTCTCCTCTGATCCTCTATTATTACAAACCTTTGATCCTCTCTGCTCCTTTCTCATAACTTACCTTTGCTATCTCCTCTGCTCCTCTATTATAACTAACCTTTGATCCTCCCTTCTCCTTTCTCATAACTTACCTTTGCTTTCTCCTCTGATGCTCTATTATTACAAACCTTTGATCCTCCCTTCTCCCTTCTCATAACTTACCTTTGCTTTCTCCTCTGATCCTCTATTATTACAAACCTTTGATCCTCTCTGCTCCTTTCTCATAACTTACCTTTGCTTTCTCCTCTAAACCTCTATTATTACAAACCTTTGATCCTCCCTTTTCCTTTCTCATAACTTACCTTTGCTTTCTCCTCTGATCCTCTATTATTACAAACCTTTGATCATCCCTTCTCCTTTCTCATAACTTACCTTTGCTTTCTTTTCTGATCCTCTCTCCTCGCCTTCTTTTCTTCAGCAAGCTTTGCTTTCCTCTCTTCTGTCTCTTTTCTCTATGAATTAAAATATAATTTGACTGAACAGCATTAATGTGACTTAAATAATGAAAATAAATAACACCTGATAGAGTTCTTTTAACACTACCAATAACATTTTCTATGTGACATTTCGATGACTAGTACGATATGTACACTGTCACCTTCATCAGACAAATGACCAGTGAAGCGTATGCACACAAAGGTGTAAAATGTGTACAAGTTGTCCACAAAATCGATATCGATTTCGGCTACGCTGAAAGTGTATGTACAATAGTTATTATATATGTACCGAAATGAAAGTTAAAGAAAAGGGCCAAAACTCTAATTTAGGAACTATTTAGTACATGTACAACCTTCCACCTAACAAATGATGTTTTCAAGCCTGTATGATCCTTAAACAACTCATTACAACATGAGATCAAAATGGATGTCGACATTTATACCATTATATCATATAAAGATAAACTGATCAACTCTTTTACTTCTGTATAACCAACACTGTATGACACTCAGAGATTCCACAGAAACACCGTGCTTTACCTTGGCATTTCTTTCCTCCAGTTCCTCTGCAGTCAAAGGTGTCCTTGGTTTCCGTTTGACCCCTGGGAAAAGTTCCAATACCTGTGTTGCTTTTCCACGACTGGATCTCTCCGCTGTATATTCCTCATCTAATACTTGCTTTTCAACTGTACAATACATAGCATTCCATACTTTAGTCATCTAATTTAACTGTCATATTTTACAGTTTATTGAAAGTTGAGGATAAACAAATAAATATGAAGACCGGAATGTGTGAATATGGTCTTTCTGAAGATCTAGTATTTCACTGGAGTGGTCTTTGAGGACAACTCTTACAGTACTATCATCTTACATCAGCCATACCTTCATTGAAATTTTAAAAAAGTTCATCGTCTAGTTCAGGTAGAAAATGCTGCCTTTACATATACAGTAGTAGTGTATTAGTATACAATGTAGTTTTTTAGTGTAATTGTAACAAGAGGCCCAATGGGCCTGAATCGCTCACCTGGTATTAATCTCACACTTGTAATCTTAAAAGTGGACTAAAATACAACTACAGGCAGAATATCAGTGTTTGATTCATAAGTACCTATTAAAAGAATTAAACATATGACGCCCGTGACCTTGAATGTCAAACAAGGACATTAGGTTGAAAAGTTTATAGTCTTCCAACCCAGCATGCTTCTAGCAAAATATCATTACCCTGGACCTTTTGGTTATACAGAACAAATCATTTAAAGGTTTAAAAATATATTGACTACTGTGACGACGGACGCCGCACCATGCCATGCCTTCGGGCCAGGTGAGCTAAAAAGTGATTTGTAAACTTGTAACTAACCTGCCAGAAGTTTTTCAAAAGCCTTAATGTCTTCAGCACTGGGTTCTTTTGAATAGTCTGTGCCCTCAAACTCATACATACTGGACGGTGCCTCCTCCAGGACCTAAACAGTACGTACAGGTCATGAAATACAACAGAAAAACACAGTGATATAATCTCAAAGGACCTGTTTACATTGGTTGAGACACATTATTGTAACTCGGTCAAGAATGCAGTTCATACGTTGGCCAGGAATAGCCTCCGAGTGACCCTCTATATAATCTACATTGGGTCAACTAGATTAGAGACCCCAAATATATCACAATCAAATATTACCAATGGGTTAGTTACAAACTACATAGCTTATGTTGACGTGTCATGATTCATTGAGAGAGTATGTTCCAGGAAAATGCTACCAATGACTTCACTGAACTTCTTGCTTTGACACTAAGCATGGACATATGGACCTAAAAATGTAAAAGGAGTAGAAAAATACAACAGTCAGCTGACCAGGATTAAAACCGTGGACCTCTTAACTCTGAAACATCATTCTAACAAACAAAGCTATTAATTATAGCTAGTCATCCAACACCTTGGTTCTACCAAAGAAATTGGACCTGTTGTCACACAAACGTCTTTATACACAAATGTCTCAAATTTCATTGAATTCAGCAAATTTATTGTGAAATTAATATTTTGGATGGTCTTCAAGTGTATCTTAATTAGTGCAACACCTTGTTCTGTCTGCTAGGGTTCCACATTTACTTTCTTCATACTCCAGTTAACCCATTACTACTGTGTCTGAGTGAGGTGCTCCTGATGGAATGGAATGTGTCCCTACTAGATATGGTCATGTCTCTATTATATATATGTATAGCCAAAACAGGCTGTGTCCACAAGCAAAAAAACCTTGCTTTCCCAAAATGAAGAAAAAGTTCTGTACTGCGGACACAGTTGTGAATCAGTTTCTACTTCTGTACTGCGGACACAGTTGTGAATCAGTTTCTACTTCTGTACTGCGGACACAGTTGTGAATCAGTTACTAGTTCTGTACTGCGGACACAGTTGTGAATCAGTTTCTACTTCTGTACTGTGGACACAGTTGTGAATCAGTTTCTAGTTTTAGTATTTCAGCATCAGTTGCACTCACTGCTGATTGGCTGGTCTTTACTTCTGGCTCCTCCTCAGGTTGCCATTCCCCGTTGACAGATGGGCCGAGAATCTGTGTGAAGTCTACATCGGTTTCATCTGTATCATTGTCATCCAGTAAAGTGTCTACACCAAACTTGAGGATGTCTTGAAGCTGAAGAAGATAATAATTTCCGTCTCTAAAAATTTAACTTTTTCTTAATTAGTTTCTGGTATGAACTTAAGGAATTACTTTTCAACAAAAGTTTTGTTAGTTTACACAAAACCAATCCTTTATTTTTTAAGAACTTTGAAGAAAGTCCTAATATGGCGTCATTAAAGTGAATACTGTATTTCCTCTCACATAAAGTTAATGTTTATTTACAATTTTACATTTCCTGTCTGAATGATTTAATATGAAAACCTATTATATTTGACATGCTGTGATTATGTGACGTACCCCAACTTTATCATTGGTGATGAGAGATTTGGCTCCGAGAGTGAACTGGCCCTCCTCAATGACTTTCTCTGTGAGATGGAGTTTGTCCTCTGCACGGCGCAGAATTATTTCTTCCACAGTATTACGGCCAATCAACCTCATAATCTTCACTGGTCTGTGGAGAAAATAGGTAGTCATTAGACCCAAGTTAGTGAGAACACTGGTAAGTCATTTGATCATGAGTAAAAGCTTGACAAAGGGACTAGTCAGTCTTGGAATGTCGTGACACATTTTATATTAACTGCGAAAATTTTATACATACATGTTCGTGTATAAAGTAAAACTTTGTTGTTATATATTTCCAAATTAATGAATTTTATTGAAGACGTTACCTCACTTGTCCAATGCGATGTGCTCTAGCAGCAGCCTGGAGGTCATTTTGGGGGTTAAAGTCACTGTCCACAAATATTACAGTATCAGCTGCCACCAAGTTCAACCCCTGACCACCTGAAAGATTGTTTCTAAGTTTGTACGGACTTCTATTGCAAACATCCATTTAAAAGTATAACTCTGACAACATATATGAAACAATATCTTCTAGATTCAAACATATTTCTGTTGCTAGTGGTAACCATATATTTCAATCAAATAATTTACAGGATATGATCTTCCTCCAAATTCTTACGTTCCCGGCACCCCTGGATTATGTTATGACAAAATCAAAGGCTCTTTACTCGCGACCCGGTGGATGATACAAGTTAGGCTAGTTTGATCCTTTGATGTAAATAAAAAAGAACTGCACAGCAGGGTAACGATAAAATATACTGGCTTTGAAGTCGTGTGTTGCTACTCTGTAATCTTCAAAGAATAGGTATCAACTTAGCGATTGGTCAGGTTTTTTAACCTTAAACCAATCATATTACTAACTGTGTCACTTCCATTTTGTCGTAACATATTCCAGAAGTACAGGAATGTAATTAAGTGTAACTCCCAGAATTTTGAGGATGAATAGGGATCAGTGGAATGACAAAATATCGTTTTAACAAATTAGTCATGATAGGTCATTACAATAGGATAGCCATGTAATTTGTCATCAGCCAACAAAGTTATGTACAGGTAAACCATTATTAGGTCCCATCTCATGATAGTCCTCTATAAGACTTGTCCAGAAGAGATTAAAGCAAGTCTTCTTAACACTGCGATCTGTTTTATACACTGTATATACATTTGTATCATGAAATGTAAGTTCATGTTACAGAGGAAAGATGAGTTTTGAAGTATTTTTCAGCTGAAACCCACCCGCCATGTTGGGGAATATATTCTGTGGTGGTATGCAAGTTTGATAGGACAATCACAGGGGTCAGACACATGAGGATGAGGTGTGTTGATTTTGATGAAATTTGGGTTCCAGATCTACTACATTATACTGCAGTTCCCTAAGCTTACAAATAGTTTCAAATATCTAATTTCAGCCATTGTGAGTACAAAGAGTGACAACACATCAAGGATATATTGTACATGATATTCTTATTGAAATGTAAGACAAGGTGTTATTAAAAACAGACAATTATTCCTGTACCTGCTCTTGTGCTCAGTAAGAATATAAAAGTTTCTTCATTTTTATTGAAGTTTTGTACAGCAAGAAATCTTTCTTCTCCCCTCACAGAGCCATCCAGGCGTTCATAGGTGTAGTCTGTGCACACAAAAATAAATTCAATAGCATCTTATAAAACTTCCAAAACAAACAAATCCGGGTTCCCATAAAATGTCCTCAATGAACAAATGTTATATTTGATAATGTTGTAACAAGTCCTAAACAAGAGGCCCAGAGGGCCTGCATCGCTCACCTGGATAATAAAGCAACCATGGGAATTTTTTCTTATTACATAAAATCCCTCCAACGGTACAGATGAAGAAAGATTTTAACCTTGAATTGCCCTTTTGGGCCCTGCAACTCTCAGCACCCAGAGGGTTCTCACCCTTCCTTTATACAAAATTTAGTCCCCACACTCCAAGCTAAATTGGGATAAAATCTCTAAATGTTTATAGTAGAAGAAGGATTTCAAAAGTTTTTACCTCTATTCTCCCTATTGGACCCCGCAACTCTCCCCACAGGGGATCCAAACCCAACATTTATACAAAACTGGCCCAAGCATGCTCTAGACAAAATTGGGATGAAATCCCTTAATCACTATTGCAGAAGTAGGATTTCAAAGGTTTTTTTACCTCTATTTCCCCTATTGGGTCCTTCCCTCTGCCCCTAGGAGGGCCAATCCTAGTACCGTTTATACAAAATCCTTACAGTAGAAGAAGCATTTTAAAGGATTTACCTCTATTTCCCCTATTCAGCCCCACCCCTCTGCCCCCAGAGGGGCCACACTCACAGTTTATACAAAATTGAGTCCTCTTGGCCTAAGGATGCTCCAGACCAAATTTAGTCAAAATCTACTGGGCCGTTCAGGACTAGTAGCGTTTTAAAGGAAAAGTTGACGGACGGATGACAGATGCTGCGCCATGGCATAAGCTCACTTGCCCTTCGGGCCGGTGAGCTAAAAATGTGTCATAAAATAAATTTTGATTCAGCTAAATGACTTTCACACCTCATACCGCCTTATCTACACAGATAGATATTATCATTATATCAATTGATCTCAAAGTGAAGTATGATATTATTGGGCAGGAGAGCTGTTACCGCTGGCATGCTTATTATGTGTTAAAGAATATAGCAAGTTCTATATAAAGAGTGCATGAATATTAATTAGAAGTTTCATGAATACATGTTAGCTTTTATCTCTAAATTTGAATGGAATAGGAATGGTAAAAATAAGGGACACTGAATGGAATAATGTAGTTTGACAAGTTGCCAAAATATCAAAATCATCAAATACATAACATGAATTCTACAGTATCAACATACATTAATAACACATGGAAACCATGATATCAAATAGAACCAAATAGTTAGATACACAATGATTCTCAGTATCAAGTAGCATCAAGCATCGGAAACACAAGCATTTCATGTCAATTACAATTGATCAACTTTCATCACAAATGCAAGTAATCCATAATCATTTATAAAATCTTAAATGGTCACTACCAATAATATCTATTTAACGAGAATATTTATTAATCCTCGCATACCATAAACATACATGCATTAGCTCAGTAGAGCTATTTCTGCTTAGACAAAGGCTTAAGTCCCTGTAACAAGTTTAGATAGTCGAAATCTTACCTCTGTAGCCAAGATAGTCCTGTATAATGTCTAGCATGTGTGTCATTTGAGAAAAGAGGAGCACTTTGTGGCCAGTCTGTTTTAGGTGAGAAAGGAGCTTGTCAATCAACACCAGTTTACCACTGGCCTCCACCAGGTGTTCTCCCAATAAAAACGGTTCCGGCTCTACACCTGTTACATACAAATACATGGTGACACCTTTCACATACAGTTACATAGCTACACCTGTCACATACAGGTACATAGCTACACCTGTCACATACAGGTACATAGACACACCTGTCACATACAGGTACATAGCTACACCTGCCACATACAGGTACATAGTTACACCTGTCACATACAGGTACATAGATACACCTGTCACATATAAAGACACCTGCATAGTTTGTGCTTAAAAATTACTTGCTCTACTGTGTTTTCCTCATTGGTTGTGCTTGTGTGAAAGCAATTTATCTCCATACTACTGATTCAAGAAAAATGTCTCAGACCAGATATGCCAATTCTGAAGTTTTGCTAAATTGATCTTACCATCGAAGAGGTAGGGATGGTTGACACACTTGCGGAGCTGCATTAGGATGTTCATCAGGCGAGGAGTTCCTCCTCCTCCACCCGGATAGTTACCTCTCGTCTGAAAGACCGCTACAACAGGTCAGACACAACAGGTCAGATACAACAGGTCAGACACAACAGGTCAGACACAACAGGTCAGACACAACAGGTCAGACACAATAGGTCAGACACAATAGGTCCGACACAACAGTGTTTCGGTGATTAACATCAAACATAGTACAACTTTAGAAAGAACATTGATAAGGACATAAATGCCACAATGTATGACAACGATACACATAATGTATGACATTGATATACATAATGTATGACAACGATATACATAATGTATGACATTAATATATAAATGTATGACATTGATATACATAATATATGAAATTAATATATTAAATGTAGGACATTGATATACATAATGTATGACAACAATATACATAATGTATGACATTAATATAAAAAATGTATGACAACGATATACATAATGTATGACATTGATATACATAATGTATGACAACGATATACATAATGTATGACATTAATATATAAAATGTATGACAACGGTATACATAATGTATGACATTAATATAAAAAATGTATGACATTGATATACATAATGTATGACATTAATATAAAAAAAATGTATGACATTGATATACATAATGTATGACATTAATATAAAAAAAATGTTCTGGCTTTCTTACAAAGATCCTTGGTGAGAATAGCCTTGTAGACTTTCTTCTGTAGCTTGGAGATGCCATGGTAGAGAACAACTTCAGATTTCTTGGGTAGGTCCTTCAGTACACCCTCCTTGGTCCTTCTCAGAAGGTAGGGCTGAAGGAGGGCGTGTAGCTCAGACACACCTATAAGTACCACCAAATCATACAACTAAGCACAGATCACGTAAAATCTTTTCTCTGACTATCAAAAGTGGAGAAGGAGCTGTTTTGGAATAGTTTGTTTTTATTCCTATTACTTTATTCCTTGTTCAATGTTCACTTGCCCGTTTAAATATTAACTACCTGTGTCTAGTAAAACAGAATAATTTTCTGATGTAATGCAACTGATCTGAGAAAATAATCTGCTTTTTCCTACTTTAGTACACTCTGGTCCATCACGCTCTTAGTAAGCATGTAGTGTACACAAAATGAAAAGTTAGACATGTACTTGCATTTCTTAAGTTTTATCTGCTGATATTTTGAGTTGCTACCTTTTGAACGTTCGATGTCCTTGAACTTGCGGAGAAATTTCTCCACGCCAGACAGCCTGAAGCTTGAAGGGCAGACGAAGCTAAGAAGAGAGTAGAGTTCTTCTAGGTTGTTCTGTACAGGTGTGCCAGTCAACAGCACTCTGTGTCTCGTACTCCACTGTAACAAACACAAAACTCAATCAAATGTGTACAGATTACTTGTGTGATGTTACAAGAAACAACCAGTTTGAGAGTTGTGTTGAGCAATCTATCTATTTGTGTGTTGCATATACACAGGTATAGAGATTACCTGTTTGAATATTGTAAATATAGAGATTACCTGTTAGAGTATGGAGTCAAGTAGCGATTACCTGTTGCCTGTGTTGGAGAATTGTGTACAGCAGAGATTACCTGTTTGCGAGTTGTGTACAGCAGAGATTACCTGTTTGAGAGTTGTGTACGGCAAAGATTACCTGTTTGAGAGTTGTGTACGGCAAAGATTACCTGTTTGAGAGTTGTGTAAAGCAGAGTTTACCTGTTTGCGAGTTGTGTACAGCAGAGTTTACCTGTTTGAGAGTTGTGTAAAGCAGAGTTTACCTGTTTGAGAGTTTTGTACAGCAGAGATTACCTGTTTAAAAGTTGTGTAAAGCAGAGATTACCTGTTTAAGAGTTGTGTAAAGCAGAGATTACCTGTTTAAGAGCTTTGTACAGCAGAGATTACCAGTTGAAGAGTTGTGTAAAGCAGAGTTTACTTGTTTGAGAGTTGTGTAAAGCAGAGTTTACCTGTTTGAGAGTTTTGTACAGCAGAGATTACCTGTTTAAGAGTTGTGTAAAGCAGAGATTACCTGTTTGAGAGTTTTGTACAGCAGAGATTACCTGTTTAAGAGTTGTGTAAAGCAGAGATTACCTGTTTAAGAGTTTTGTACAGCAGAGATTACCTGTTTAAGAGTTGTGTAAAGCAGAGATTACCTGTTTCAGAGTTTTGTACAGCAGAGATTACCTGTTTAAGAGTTGTGTAAAGCAGAGATTACCTGTTTAAGAGTTTTGTACAGCAGAGATTACCAGTTGAAGAGTTGTGTAAAGCAGAGTTTACTTGTTTGAGAGTTGTGTAAAGCAGAGTTTACCTGTTTGAGAGTTTTGTACAGCAGAGATTACCTGTTTAAGAGTTGTGTAAAGCAGAGATTACCTGTTTGAGAGTTTTGTACAGCAGAGATTACCTGTTTAAGAGTTGTGTAAAGCAGAGATTACCTGTTTAAGAGTTTTGTACAGCAGAGATTACCTGTTTAAGAGTTGTGTAAAGCAGAGATTACCTGTTTCAGAGTTTTGTACAGCAGAGATTACCTGTTTAAGAGTTGTGTAAAGCAGAGATTACCTGTTTAAGAGTTGTGTACAGCAGAGATTACCTGTTTCAGAGTGTTGTACAGCAGAGATTACCTGTTTAAGAGTTGTGTAAAGCAGAGATTACCTGTTTCAGAGTTGTGTACAGCAGAGATTCACTGTTTTTGAGACGGTGAGCCTCATCTACTACAACCGCTCTCCAGTCCTGGGAGGCCAGGAAACCATTTAACTCAGCATCCTTTAAACAAAGCTACAACACAAAAACAAGAAAAACACAATGACATTCCATTCATGGCATTATAAGAACTTAAGGTTTCAAGACATTTTGACTAAATATCCTTGTGACCTTGACTTTTGATCATCCACAACTTCTTCCTTCTGTCTTGGTGAACAAGTTTATTGAGAGTGGTGATATCCCTAGCAACACTTTAAGATAAATTAATGTTTCTAAATGTTTAACCCGAGTGACCTTGTGATATTGACCTTTGGAGCTTTCATTCCTCTAACTTATGTCACAGTGAAAAAAGGCATCAACCTTTTTTTTTATATTTCCTTTAAAAGTCATAGAAAGTGGATGCTTAAAAATTCAACCAAATCTAACAAATTGACCTTCAGTTTCAGTAGCCTTTTACAACCCCATGTCTTCATACAAACTTAAATGTTGTGAGGACACAAAAAAACCTGAACAAAACAAATTACACTGTTACATACTATTTCTTTTCTTTATAAGCCATTATAAGGCTCCTTTAACTGAAGAAATGCATCTGTATTTTACTGAGTTTTCTTTTAGCAGAATTGATGGTACCCCCCTTCTCCAAAAATAAAAGGCTGCTGTGAAACAGAAACAGCATTAAATCACTGTATTTGTCATGGTAAACCACTGTCACATTTTTTTAAATTATTCCAATCATAACTATGTGAGAAATCAAATTTCTAAAATACTCATGACTGTGTGTGGCATACACCTAAAGGGAAAAGGCAGACATTTAATGCACATTTTCTGTGATTGACATAAAAAATAATCTCTATCTGTTACATACTTAAATCCTCATGAAGAAATTCATTTGAAACACTAATATGAAGAAAAAAAACTTGGCTGCAAGGAAGCATGTAATAATACATGATAGTGCACGTGATGTACCTCATATGTCGTAACAAGGACACTGAAGGGCTGTCTGCCAGCCTTTACTTGAGTACGCAGCTCCTTGGCCAGGGCATTCCTCTCATCTTTGTTCCCTACATAACTCTTCACTTTTATTTCAGGAGCAAACCTAGACAAAAATCATTGAAATCAACAAGTTACTGAAGCATTTAGCATTAAAATGAAAATGCTGATATGAGCTCCCAGTGATCTACCACAACATTTTGTCACAGGATAATGATCATTGTTAGTAATGTGACACGTGTCTCCACTTATAATTAGAGAAAGACACCAGAAGGGTGTTGAAAGCTTGCGCTTTCTAGTCGTGACTAGATTCTGACAGGTTACTTATAATCAACATTTACAGGTTCAGGTCAATATATGGCAATCATTCACCATTCAAAGACAATTTTGTAGAGATAATTCTTTTCCAACAGAAATTATTTTAGCACACTTGTTTTTTTCCATTACGTTCATTGAAGATTAGTTTGCTATTATCCCAGCCTGTTAATGACCAAATATCATCACCCTTGGCCTTTGGCTAATTGAGAAGAAGTCGTTTAAAGGTTTTAATCATATTTGACCCCTGTGACCTGAGTATATGTAAAGGTCATTCATTTGAATAAACCTGGTTGCCCTTTATCCCAGCATGCTACTGGCCAAATAACATCATCCTAGGACTTTCGGGTTATTGAGAAGAAGTTTTTTAAAGGTTTTAAACATATTTGACCCCTGTGACCTTGAAAATAAGTAAAGGTCATTCATTTGAACAAACTTGGTAACCCTTCATCCTAGCATGGTACTGGCCAAATATCATTATCCTAGGCCTCTTAGTTATTCAGAAGAAGTTGTTTAAAAATTTGTTAAGACAATTGACCCCTGTGACCTTGAAAATGGACGAATGTCATGCATTTGAACAAACTTGGTAGGCCATCACAGCATGCTACTGGCCAAATATCTACACCATAGGCCTCTTAGTTATTTAGAAGAAGTGGTTTAAAGGTTTTAACATATTTAACCATTGTGACCTTGAATATTTGTCAATGTTATTCATTTGGTAGACCTTCATCCCAGCATGCTACTGGCCAAATATCATTATCCTAGGCCTCTTGGTTATTGAGAAGAAGTTGTTTCAAGGTTTTTAGCATATTTGACCCCTGTGACCTTGAATATAAGTAAAGGTCATTCATTTGAACTAACTTGGTAGCCCTTCATCACAGTTTGCTTCAGGCCAAATATTATCACCCTAGGCCTTTTGGTTATTAAGAAGAAGTTGTTTAAAGTAAAATATTGACGCCAGACGTCGGACAGACAGACGGACCGATGGACGCCGCCGCTGCACCATGGAATAAAAAGTAAACTAGCAAGACGGCAACCAGTAAAAACAGTATACAAGTATACATGCACCTACTTTGTAAGCTCAGCTACCCAGTTCTCCAAGATGGACCGAGGACAGATGATCAGGTTTGGGTGCCACTTCTTGGCTCTGGAATCTATGTATGCCAGGAATGCTATGGTCTGACAATTAAACAGAAATATTGAACCACAATATAAAATCTCAGTATAAAACAACAATAACACTAGTCGGACACAAAAACAACAATAACACTAGTCGGACACAAAAACAACAGTAACACTAGTCGGACACAAAAACAACAGTAACACTAGGCGGACACAAAAACAACAGTAACACTAGTCAGACACAAAAACAACAGTAATACTAGTCGGACACAAAAACAACAGTAACACTAGTCCCGCGGACACAAAAACAACAGTAACACTAGTCGGACACAAAAACAACAGTAACACTAGTCGGACACAAAAACAACAGGTATGGGGACATTTTACTACTCCACACTTTCTGAATCTTTGTTGAAATATTTGAATTTATTTTACTCCTGTGACCTTGAAAGAGGGTTGATCAAAATCATTCATAGGAAGAAACTTGATAGCCATTCATATTAACATGCTTCTGGCAAAATAGCATAACCCTATGCATCTTTTATATTATGAAAGTTGGTTTAAACATATTTGACCCTTGTGACCTTGAAAGTAGGTCAAGGTCATTCCTATGAAAAGGCTTAATATATAGCCCTTCATTTTTAGCGTGCAAATGGCTAAATATCATCACCCTTAGCAATTGGTTATTACAAAGTTTTTTGAAAAAGAATTTGCTGCTGGACAGAAGATGGACAGATTACACACCATGGCATCAGTTTATTTGACTCTTTGTGCCAGGTGAGATAAAACGTAGCTTTTCTCTGTACCAAATATATATGTGCATGATTTAAAAATTCTGAATGAAAGAAAGTTCTATGAAAGATGTGGTGTCATAATGTAAATGTACCATCAAACAGGATTAGGATGTCATGTTGTGTAAGATTATTTCATGCAGTTTATTAAAATTATCAAAAACACATCATTGACTGACAGCTAGTGATGAAACCCCAAAACAGTGATACGATAATCATTTATTTTACAATCTTTCAATTTTAAACTGATTACCTGGCAAGTTTTGCCGAGACCCATTTCATCTCCAAGAATAGCACCGTGACCTTTTTGATAACACTCAATAAGCCAGTTCACTCCAGTCAGCTGATATGGACGTAATGGGAGATCTGTAATATATAGTACAAGTAATAAAGATTCAGTAATCCTAAACAATGAAGTATATAAGTTAGGCACAACCCCACATATGGGTAATAATCATGCATTTGGGTAACAGTTACAGTAACATTTTTTGTCACTGAAAATTGGGAACAAAGTGATATATAAAAAAACATCAAAGTTCTTTAAACATTTGGACTAAAAAAAGGGTTGTGCTCAACCTTTTATAAGTCAGGTGAATGAACATGGTTACTAGGGTGGGGGATGTTATATAGGTGTAGACTAGGTCCATCGTCAGTGGGCGGATGGCTCAATTGGTGGAGCATTTGTCTTAACTTGAGTTCGGATGGTCCAGTGTTCTAACCCGGTCTGGCCGTGCATTTTTCGTCTCCTAGCTGTTACATAGGTAAAGATGTGGATGAATGAATAAATTCGGAATGAATTGCTACATCATAGACACCAACATTGTTTTAAAATAATTCAAAAGTAAAACATAAGATTACTGCTGACACAAGGGCATGCATTTTCGGTCAAAAGCTCATTACAGCTTATGTTTTGTAGTTTGTAACTTTACCGAATTTAAATAAAACTTTCATATGTATTCATGAAACCATTCCCATACTCAAGGATGAACTCTGTGCCAAATGTCTTATATCTTGGTATTTATTCGGCGTCTCTGACATCAAAATTATTTCGTATTATTCACAAATTGTGGCTTGTTATTAATTTATCACTGGAACAAGAATTTGGGTTTAGCACAAAATCTGAGTTTGAGCGTTAGAAAGGTTTCATGAATATTGACACAGATCTCTGATTAAGATTGCATTGACATCCACACGGAAAGTCATGAAAGGCCTTTGCTCTCACCAGTCCATCCAAAATCCTTCAACTTATCATTGCTGTCGATGTATTTTCTCTGAATTTCTTTTGAGCACTCTCCATCACTGTCACTACTCATGTCGTGCATGTTTGTGTCTAGTTGCTGTACTGTTATGTCAATAAAAACACACAATGTTTATGCTTGCTTGCATATTTCCCGGGTTAACATTAGAGTTATCGCCCATTTCTTTTCGGGGCTCATTGTCTTTTTATAATGGTGTCTAAAGTAAACTACCGAGGTGTTCCATCAACAATTTTTCCAATATGGCTTCCAATGGATGAAGTGTCGAGCTGTCAATAATTCAGTTTCCAAATTTTGTTTTAATGGCTGTCATGGACATTAAAAGAAAATTCCAAAACTTCCTCAGAAAACAGGTAAATAAACTATACTGATCATGTAATATGTAGGCGTTTAATTTGGCATTGTTTAATTTTACTAGGTGATGGTATAAAAAGTGGGCAGGGCAGAGTTGTGTACTTACATGTAACGTTAACAATTATTATTTTATCAATAATCGAAGTAGGCGTGATTTTTATATGTATTAGTTGAGTAACCTACTCTAGTAGTAGTAAGTGTGCACATATAACAACCCGTAATAAATTCTGACCTGTAGCCCTGTGAAGCTGGTGTGCCTACTCACTGAGTGAGTACTGTAAATGATATTTGAACATGTAATAAACAGGACCAGTACATGCTGCCGATTGAGCTATATAGCTATAAAGACATATATATCTATATACACCTATACATTATAGCTGTATTGAGCTATATTTTCTCAAGATTTCAATTTTCATTAAATTAAAGCAAAGTCGCATAAAACAATAAGGTTTATGGTAATGTTGACTACAAAAAGCATACAGTTAGATGTTTATTTTCATTCAATCTGATTAAAATCTGCGTAGTACGAAGTTAACGAAGCCATGTAACATATGATTTTAATCAGATTGCTTTTCATTTTTCATAAGTGTATAATTTTCGATTTTTTTACATCATTATTTTTTAAAAAGAATCCTTATATTTAATTTCTTTTGTTTTCCACCTAATGATACAATCTTCTTTTAAAAGCGACTTTGGTTTTTTTTCCTTAAAAAAGAAAATCATTTGAAAACAGCTCAAAAGACCTATTTCAGATAGGTCAATAGAGCTATTATAGGTCTTTACAGCTATATAGCTCAATCGGCAGAGTGTACTGGACCTGATAAAGATGGGGACAAATGCAAAAGGATTTCATTGACCTGTTGTCGCATTAAAATACTGTGCAATTATGAATGTATTAAAATAAAACAGTTTGTGGGGCTGAGGCCAGCTGGCAACCATGAAAGAAACTCACTCAAACGTAGAGTATGCCTCTGCATGCTGAGATCCATTTTCTCAACAGCAAATCAACTGTCTGTAAAGGTTACAAATGTTAAGTGACTAGGTTTGCTTACAATGATTATATTACTGATTTATAATTATAGGATTCATGAACTTTCCTCACATTGGTAAGGCAATTAAACTGACATTAGAAGAAATGTGATGTTGAGCTGGGGCAGCCTTGTTTTCCAAAGATTGTAAACAACAAACTTTAATATGACTCTTATATCCAGTCATTGTGGAACAATATAATATACAAAGCTCTATCAGGACCTTACAAATCTTCTGGTGCTTTCATTCCGCACTGCTATATATATCAAACTGTCACGGACAGGATATTGTGGCACTGCTAATGCAGCTATCTTGTTTTGAAGTAGCGCATTCATATATACTAAGCCCTTTTTTATAAACCCTTTTAATCTATTTACAAATTCTTACCTAGTGGATCAAGTTATATAAGTACAGTGTATTGCTGGGATATTTACATTATACATACATTATATGTACCGTATGTGTACGAAGAATATGTTCCTTTCACAGAAGATGATGATCGTGCATTCAGGGTTAATAGTATAAAGTGGTAATAAAATGTTAGTTGCTGAGCATATTACACCTTGAACTCGCATGCCATATCCCATTGTACTATCTTTACCCTCTATGTCGGATAATATTTAGTTTTTTACCTATTGATTTAATTTAATCATGAAAAATTATGATACTATTCAAACATTTTTAAAAACATGGCATCTACAGGTAATATTATTCTTTTTAATAATATTAATAATTCTTTTTGACAGGAATCAGTGCAATCTCCAGTAGAAGATGATATCAACCATGACTTGTTTACAGGAGAGCCTGCTATCACAAAGTACAAGGTAAATGTTTAAAAACACATCTGTACAAGCCATGCTTTGTCCCCTGACAAGGAATTTTCTCACAAACATCAAACTCTACATTTAATTTTGGCTATAGCAATAGAGATTTTGAAATTATGTGACATATAAAATATATAATGCAGTAAAATTACATTATAATGATGAAGCTGGAAAAGCCAAATTATCTTCTGAAATTTGAGACAATTCTTTGTCCCGATCATATGATAAGATTTTTTTGCGTTTAAATTGGATATTTCAATAGGCTATATTTATATCAAAAGTTTGAAGTTTGTTATATTTTCTATAGCTGTATTATCAGCCCATATAACACCAGAACAATTATCAGGCAAAGACCAAGGCCCTGTAATATCATTACACAAAAACAATCAAATTCTAAAGAAATGTGTGGATAATGAATTTGTATAATATGCAGATGTCAAAAAAGGAATTGTCCACTTGACTGTATCTGTTGCCCTGTTTTACAGCACAGTCACATGGTTAACCCCCACGAGGAGCAGGAGGTGCTGGAAAACATAGAGGAAGTGTACTACAATGATGAAGATGTTGACACCAGCAGCTTCGAACTCCAGGTCATTAACTCGGACACCTTCGATAATAATTCTTATCTCAACTGTAGAAAAAAAAATAGTCAGAATGACAACCAGTCAAAGTTACATCAACACTTCAGATGAATTTACAATTTAGAGCTATCTGGTGAACATCAATTTAAAAAGGGAAAAAGAAAGGGATAAACTCTGACATTTTATTTATTAAAATTTTCTTTAATCACTTTACACACAATATAAACTATATTTATTTTACAACAATTATGAAACTAGTTATTTCAACTTATATTAATCACTCTTGTTGGTCCAGCTGTAAGCGCGTGTAGGGTCTTAAATGTGGGAGGAAACCGGAGTACCCGGGGAAAACCCATGTGGTTGGGCAGGTGACCCTGTACCTTTTCGCGTCCGATCGGGGAATCGAACCCCGGTCGCCTTGGTGAAAGGAAGGTGCGCTATCCACTGCGCCACCCGACCACAATGTATGTAGAAACATGGTGTAACATTTCAAGATCAACAGGCCTCTTTTTCAAGCTATTACTGAGTGAGCTATTACTGAGTGAGCTATTACTGAGTGAGCTATTACTGAGTGAGCTATTACTGAGTTGAAACCTTGACAAAGAGACCCTTTTGTCTTAAATGTTATGACAAGTTTTTACATACATTGTTTGTGTATAAAGTGTTATCTTTATATACTCTGTACATATTTCTAAATTTCAAAGTAAAATGATGAATCTTACTTAAAAATATGAGACTTTTTTAAACTGTGTCTCCTACATTATAGAAAGTACCGGAGGATCCTGACCTGGACCAGATTGACCGGGACAGACAAAAACTGAGGAAACAGCTACAAGTGGTGGGTATTGACAATAAGCTTCGGTTCACCATCAAAGGTTTTTATCTCATGTTTATTTTCACATTAGTTCCTTGAGTCAGTAGTGAAATCTGAGTCCTTGAGATGATTTTTTTCAGACTAATGACATTAGTATTATATATGTAGATGTATAATGTATGTTATAGTCAGTTTTTTTCTTAAAATTTTAGAACAAGAACTTAAATCCCCATTAGAGATGATTGTATCTATTACTGAAAGTCAACCTAAAGCTTTAGAATAAAAAAATGATTTGGTAACAGCGTTAAACTGTGTACTAAAATTTAATGATATTACATTGAATGGAACTAATTGTAGATAATTCACATTCCCAGGTTTCCAAGAAAGTGTCCGACGTGGTGTTACAGAATCACCCTGCCTATGCGGCTGAGTTACAGAGAGTGATGGAGCTACAGAAAACACTACAGCTTGCCAGCATCATCTGTGCTAACGGACGCAGGTAAGTCAGGGACAGACAAGTAAGTCAATGGCAGACACGTAGGTCAAAGACAGACAAATAAGTCATGGACAGACAAGTAGGTCAAGGACAGACAAATAAGTCATGGACAGACAAGTAAGTCATGGACAGACAAATAAGTCATGGACAGACAAGTAAGTCATGGACAGACAAATAAGTCATGGACAGACAAGTAGGTCATAGACAGACAAGTAAGTCATGAACAGACAAGTAATTAAGTCATGGATATTGTTTTTTTTATATATATTTTTGGGGGATTGCATTTCCCAAAACATCCAGTACTATATTTAGGGTATCTTGCATCTGATATTTATATATAAAAAGCTCAGGGTCTTGTTGTTGAAAGAGGTTAGCTTTGTTAATTTTCAATGTTTTGATTTCTATGTAGTTTATACTGTATTTTGATTCAGCCAAAGATATTATTCTCCTTACTAGGATTGCATATTATTATATCCCGTGACATTGTACAGTTGTTACACTAAAAAATCGAAAAGTAGTAACATGCACTTCCTTATAGCACTTATTTACTAACAGGCATTTCTTTATAGGATTAATGAAGAGGGTGAGGTGTATGTATATGAGAGGTGTCTGTGTGTTTCATTTGATTTAACTTCATGCAATAAATGTGAAAAATAAATCTTCCAGACAACTATCTGGAGCAAGGAAAAGCTTTACCACTGCCAGCCTTAAGATGTTGGCTAACTACAGAAAACGACAGCAGCTGATTGGTCTACTTAAGTCCCTAAGGACAATTAAAACACTACAGCGTACAGATCTGAGGCTGAGGGAAATGATGGAGGTAAATAGTACAGTAATAGCTTTTTATTATCTATGGTCATTAAACATGCTTTAGCCAGTTAAAAAATTTCCCCACTTCCTGTATATAACAACCACAGCAGCTAGGTTAAGGTAGTTTAAGGGACACCATATATTTCATTTAAAATTTAGAAAGTAATATAATCTTCACCATGCATGTAAAAATAGCCAAAACATTCATGGTCAGAAAAAAGATGTAGCTATTTTACCACGATTATAGGATATAAAGATCCATTCGCCCATACACAAGTGTGATAAGAACCTTATCCTACCTTGAGTTTGTCATTTGTGATACATACATTGGACAGTAACTATGGAAACACACTCATCAAAACAATCTGTAACTTACATCAATAATCTATACTACATGTATGTTCAATTGTCAATTGAAAAAGATATAAACGATCATGCATATTTAATTCAGTTTTCCCCGTTAATAAGGATAAAGTAATTTGTAAACCTGATTTTGTCAAACTAAAAGGATTACAGAAATATGTCAAGCTATCCAGGTGATTGGGGAGCTAACCAGGTTCAGGACTTAAGGATACTCACACCTGCATCTTCCTAATATAGAGTCCCACAATAGGAATAACCTGGTATTCTTATAACATGGACTACCAAACAATAAAACAGGTTTTATCACCCTGAAAATCATTTAAGTCAAGTTTTAGTGTTTAGGGTTCCATGTCAACAGATTTGATTGTGTTTCAGGAGGAAGACTACTGCAGTGCTATACAGCTGTGTCTGGAATGTCAGAAGGCGGCTAGCACATTCAAACACTTTACTTGTATAAGGTGAGACTATTCTTACACTCTGTAGATTAAACTCTCCATTTCTTCTGAAATTAGTAAAAACGTTTAAAAGAACTATACCAGAAGCAGCTCTGGATGGCTGATGTGTATTGATGTAGGTAAGATGGCTGTTGATGGGAGCAGCAATTGAATTAAAAGATGTAATGTCCGATGGGACATGGTAGGTATAGCCAAGTGAATGAGAAATAAATTTATAGGCATATGGGTACAAGTATTTTCTCCAATATACCTGTAAATCTCTTACAACAGCTGTCACTAGAATTGTGTAACAAATCCATGTGTCTTATAAAGTATGCAGATAGCTGACCGTAAGCAGGCAATAAATCAAATCTTTGTGAGCCAATTGTTGGTTGGTTGGTTGAGATGTTATACGTCTACAATTCACTGACTTCGGTCGACGTGAGGTGGTAATTTGCCCCTTACAAGGCCCTCAGAGATTCAAAATGTCCTAGGCCCATCCAGATCACGCTCTAAGGTCGTACATCTCCTCAGATGCGGACAGAACAGCTACTGTGGTCCACTGTACACGTCCTTAGTGTAGTCCTCGCTGTCCCCCTATGAGTGTTGTGAGCTAATAATTTTCTTCAGTTTAAGTAGACTACACCTGCCTTAATAAGTACCACTGTTCACCACCTTCCCTGCCATGCACCACCATGAAGTCTGTGTAGGAGATCTGGACAAATGTCAATCACTCGGACAAGATAACTCAATGGTAGAGCATTCATTTTGAGTTTAGAGGTTCTAGGTTGGAGTTTTTAGAGGTTCTAGGTTGGAGTTTTGGACTGTTAGTAGAGTTACTATGAGATACATCCCTTGTTATATTTACAGTGAGCTGAGTTCAAAACTACAGGACACGCTGGAGATGATTGAGGAACAGCTGGATGTTGCTTTGTCCAAGACATGTAGTCACTTTGACATTGTCCACTATGAGAAAGTACAGATAGCTTATAGACTTCTGGACAAAACTCAGGTACGAACACCACATTTCACCACTTTGTCTTAATCTGAAGTCTTAGTTTATCATTGACTACAGGTGTTTATGTGAATATTTGTTTTTTTGCCTGTAATGCCAGGCTTTTTTTGTACTTGAAATGCAAGGCATCTTATTTCAAGTCACAATATAATATTGATAATTTTGAATCATCAGATAACTTTTCTTACAAAAAACAAATGCCGATTAGCTGTGAGATCTTAAAGGACTGTTTAGAACACATCTAATATCAAATCAGATTGACTCTGCCAGAAAGTGTTTGACCTTAAGGTTGTTTGACCTTGAGGGTGTTTTGTAATTACAGACTGCCATGGATCAGTTACACATGCACTTCACAAGTGCCATACATAGTACAGCCTTCCAGATTGTTCTGGGCTACGTGGAGCTGTGCGCTGGAACAGGAAACTCAAACTTCCAGAAACGACCCTACGTAGATCTCTGTAAGGTAAGTGTTTTGGCAATGATATATTGCACCATAGCTGACCTCAAAATGAAGACCTGCCATTTATAACAAAGCCTCAGGATTTTTAACAAAAATGTACGAGACTCAGTACAACACCAACAAAAATGGTTGCTCTAGTAATGTATAAATCTTCTTTTTTTCATGATTTAATTGACAGTATATATGTGAAAAGCATTTGTGTTTATTTGCTATTTGTGTTCTTTAAGAAATCCCTATGCTTTAAACAATCTGTAGCGACCTTAAATATCAGCTGCTGTCTTTTCCAATTACTGAGTTATGATACCTGCAAGATCTGGTAGCCACCAAGCCTTAATTGTCCTGTGTATACTTTGTAAATTTGTTCAACTGTCATTTTGTGTTTCAGAATATAACACAGGAAAGTTTCAAACCATGTTTGGTAGATCTGTGCAAAGCATTATGGGAAGTGATGAAGAGTTACCACAAAACCATCCAGTGGCATGAGTCTCACGACGAAGAGTTCATCCGGGAGTCAGGTAGGTGTTTGTTTCTGCAAAATAATTATGGATGCAAAAATACTGAATATACATTGTTCTGTGATGCATCTCACCAAACATGTGCACCATGTATTGTCCAGTGATAAACCACGATCCAAACTGACCAGTATTATTATCCAACAGGTGTGGATGTGGACATCACATTGAAGATGAAGTACATACGTCAGAAGCTTGACCATGGCCTGACTCGGATATGGCACGACGTCCAGCAAAAGGTCAAGATTTATATCCTGGGTACAGACATGGCCAACTTCAAACTAGAGGACTTCATACGAGTGCTAGACCTTGTCAACAGGTAAAACACTGTACCAACAGGTAAAACACTGTACCAACAGGTAAAACACTGTACCAACAGGTAAAACACTGTAAACTGGAGAAATTAGTATGAATTCTTGACCTTGTCACCCTATCTAGATCTGCATCTGGTTGATTTATGTTTTCACTGTCATCAGCAATGACTACTGGTATATATAGACATACTATATTTGTTTCAGGTTGATTGAGATAGGGGAGGAATTTTGCGGGAGCAAGTCAGAAGGTCTACAAGACTCCCTCAAACAACAGAGTCTCAATTATTTCAAAAACCACCACAGGTCAGTATTAGTGTCTCATGGTATTGTCTTATTTTCTTTCTTTAATTCTTTACAGAAAACCAGAGATACGTATCGTTCTGTATAGAAAATCAGTGATACCTATTGCTCTATATGGAAGAAATATTCACATTTATCCCTGATTTCACTTATACTTATCGTGATATATATTTAAAAGTTTATCCACAAGGAAACATGATAATAAATTCTGAACAACACTCTATGCTAAACAGTACTTTCCAGTAGTTATAAAATGTATTGCCTGTCTTAGGTACCGTATGGAAGAACTAGGAATGTTCCTGGAGAACGAAGGCTGGGAGATCTGCCCTGTCAAGTCTAACTTTACTCTGCTACAGTTGTTGGTAAGTCTAATGTTCAGTTCATCTTTTATTGTCAAACATTTTGTCTGACAGTTTATATATATAACAAATAAATAGAAGGTGGGACCAGGACAACATCAGCTAGGATATATCAGTATAACTGACACAGTTTGCATGTTTTGGTTGTTAGGTCGGTATCAGAACATCCCTAATGTATGAAATGTGGTACCCTGCTTACCTACAATCAACAACAACATGGTTGTAGTGACATCAATGATGTCATTGTATAGTTTTGCTTAGGTTAGAAATGATTGTATGAAATACTATGGTCTCAAATGAAACCACTTATAAAATTATTGTAGTACATGTAGTAACAATATAGGAAATATGATACCAGGAGTCCTAGGTTCATGGTAATAAATAGATAACAACTTTTACTTTGATATCAGGAATTCAGGTTCATGCAGAGCTGGACTCGTTCTCCGGCCACCAACTCCCTAGTGCATTCCCAACAGGAAGTAGAGGGGGAGGAATCATTGCCAAACGGACACAATCGAGAAGGGGGGCGCTACTTTGACCAGTACAAGGATGAAGGTAGTCCATTTGATGTCCAACCTGATGAAGAAGAAAACGAAGATGTGTTTTCTGGAAGTTGGGTAAATACCACACACTGTTCAATTTGTTGGTCCTTATTGTTGTAACACTTTAAAAGCCATATTGGGATGAGTTCAAATCAATATAAAAGTTAAAGGTTTTTCATGAGTTTTGTGAAATTTTTTAATTTTTCAAGAAAAGACATTTTTGTTCAGCTAGATATGGATTGAATTTTAATAGGTTGTTTTGTTTGTGTTGTAGGATGATGAAGATGGAGAAGGTAGAGACACAGACTCAGACGAGCCCGATGAACTCAAACAGGATTATATTGATGAACTCACAGGAGAGGCACAATCTAATAGGTACCTTACCCTGATAAGCCCATGCGTCAAATAAGTCAAACATTACCATTCATATATATAGAAAAGTGATTTTTAGATTTGAAAAATAATGAAAGTACATGAATGGGGTACAGTCACACACAGGCTGGAAAAGGTCAAGGTCCCTGTTATTAAAAATAAACCATGGGGGTACAGTCACACACAGGCTGGAAAAGGTCAGGCTCCCTGTTATTAAAAATAAACCATGGGGGTACAGTCACACACAGGCTGGAAAAGGTCAAGGTCCCTGTTATTAAAAATAAACCATGGGGGTACAGTCATACACAGGCTGGAAAAGGTCAGGCTCCCTGTTATTAAAAACCATGGGGGCACAGTCACACACAAGCTGGAAAAGGTCAGGGTCCCTGTTATTAAAGATAAACCATGGGGGTACAATCACACACAGCCTGGAGAAGGTCAGGGTCCCTGTTATTAAAAATAAACCATTGGGGTACAGTCACACACAAGCTGGAAAAGGTCAAGGTCCCTGTTATTAAAAATAAACCATGGGGGTACAGTCACACACAGCCTGGAAAAGGTCAAGGTCCCTGTTATTAAAGATAAACCATGGGGGTACAATCACACACAGCCTGGAAAAGGTCAAGGTCCCTGTTATTAAACATAAACCATGGGGGTACAGTCACACACAGGCTGGAAAAGGTCAAGGTCCCTGTTATTAAAAACCATGGGGGCACAGTCACACACAAGCTGGAAAAGGTCAGGGTCCCTGTTATTGAAAATAAACCATGGGGGTACAGTCACACACAAGCTGGAAAAGGTCAAGGTCCCTGTTATTGAAAATAAACCATGGGGGTACAGTCACACACAGGCAAGGCCTTGTCAGTATTTTAGTTTATCAGACAATAGAGAAAACTTAAATGTCTATTTATTTCAGGCAATACAGAAGAAGAACATCAAGAAACAAAAATCAAAGACACATTCCAATTGTGACCAATACAACCCTCAATGTTCTGAGGGTGATAGGTAAGCTGAAACAGGTCTTAACCCTTTCACCCCTATGTAAATTAAGTAGATTCTAGCATGCATTGATCTGGATGAGTCCATTATGGTATTCAGTGGTGAAAGGGCTAAATATTTAATACTATTGCTCATTATCACTGTGACTTGTTTTTGTTGCCTTCCTCTTAATGGTGACTGAAGACACAGTATTGACATGTGGATTAAATGGTGAAATATTCCAATCTGATTGGCGTTTTGCAGTGCCTATTTAATCAGACAACATTATTGTAACTTAATAAGTACTTTGGGTAATTATCTAAACACACATTGGAATGTAATAAATATACTGGTGAGATTGACCATGATGTCACATGACATGCTAAATTGTGTTACTGTAGTGTTTTAAATGCTTGATGTTTTGAAAAAGGTTTAAACTTGAACCAATGTGTGTTGTCCAGAAATCAACAGTGTACTTGGACACCCGATTAACAGCTTGTGTACCGATACACATAATGTACTGTGTCACTGTCATACCTTCTGATTTCTGTGTCGGGACACAATTGAGCTCACAAAGGTAAAAGGATGTATGGGGCCTTTAATATAGACATATACATGAATGATTGGATAAACATTAATGTTTTATGATTCTGGTGTAACTGATTGTATTAGTCCATGTTTTACTTAGAACATTTGTTAACTTGGAACAGGTAAATATATGCAGATGATGACCGTCCTGAAACCGATAGCTTTTGACGTGATCAACAGTATGTCACAGCTATTTGAATATTACCTGTATACAGTAAGTTTATAGAGACGTATACGGTAAGTATATATTACCTGTAAACAGTAAGTATATAGAGAAGTGGAAATCTATATCTCGTGTATCCAACATTAAACATATGTACACAAAACGGAGCTAATCACTCAAAATCAGTGAAACATAATACACTGAAACATAATTACAACAAAGGAAATTATATAAATAAAGAACTAATACAATATTTTAGTGCTCACTTGTCATGACAGATGGTCTATACATGTGTGATTAATAACCTCGTACTTGAAAAACAGTCATATACTTTAAGATCGCCTGCATGCTTCCATCCAGGCTAACATAAATAATAAAGGTAAAGGTTGATAAATTTTATTTCATAATTGTTGTTATAAAAAGTTTATATTGTTATCTATTGTTTGCTGATGGCCATGTTCATATATAATATGGTTGATATTGACAGTATAAGTGTTGTCAGTGTTACCATGACATATTGACAGCATAAGTGTTTTCAGTGTTACCATGACATATTGACAGCATAAGTGTTGTCAGTGTTACCATGGCAAATTGACAGCATAAGTGTCGTCAGTGTTACTATGGCAAATTGACAGCATAAGTGTCGTCAGTGTTACCATGGCAAATTGACAGCATAAGTGTTGTCAGTGTTACCATGCCAAATTGACATTATAAGTGTTGTCAGTGTTACTATGGCAAATTGACAGCATAAGTGTCGTCAGTGTTACCATGCCAAATTGACAGTAGAATTGTTGTCAGTGTTACCATGACAAATTGACAGTATAATTGTTGTCAGTGTTTAGTATAAGTGTCATCAGTGTTAACATGTCAGTGATAAAAGTGTTTGATTTATTTGTAGGTTCATATATTCTTTGGAGCAGATACGGTAAGTACTACATGGTTTGATTTAGATGATAACTGATAGTGTCTGCGAATCCTTAGAAATACCAGTACTGCTGTATTAAAGTATATTGCATTGTGTGTCTATTTTGTTAGTAAGAACACCCATCAATATTCTTCTTTTGATACAACATTAAATTGATGTAATTCATCTGCTGAATTTTGTATGAATGAATGAATATGAATGAATATGAACGAATATGAATGAATATGAATGAATGAATATGAATGAATGAATATGAATGAATATGCACGAATATGAATGAATATGAATGAATGAATATGAATGAATGATGAATATGAATGAATGAATATGAATGATGAATATGAATCAATCAATCAATCAATCAATGATTCAATCAATCAATCAACACGGTGATCCATTTTGGTTACTGTCCCCTTAGACATTATTAGTAGACTTGTAATCGTTTTCTTTTGTCTCCTCAGTGGGTGATGAATGAGCGATCCCTCAATAATCGAATGCACATGACACTTCAGAGGATCAGGAACAACCTGATAGCAGAGGCACCTATACCTGGGGCTCCCCCCACTGACCAAGAGAATGGCAGGGTAAGATAGGTACCCTCTATTATACTTCATTGATATCACCCCTCCATCTGTAATATACTGAGAAGGGCAGTACTCCTCAATAATCCATTCAACCCCGCCTCCCTCACCTATGCAGTAATAATATCTGTAACCTTTTGCTGTATCTTTCGCTGTAAAATACATCGTTGTAAGCTTTTTAGCTTTTGGTGATGTCTTGATTGTATATCCTTTACTTATATATAGTGTCCAACCGGTTGCACATAAAATGATAAAAGTCCATTATTTACACATTGATGAGTTGTGGCAGTATATACAGTAGCCTTGTTGCTCACACATTATACTTGACAAAAACAGTTCTCTCTATATGAAACCTACGTCTATTTACACACGTTCCGTTAAAAGTTTGCACTTGTTGATTTGGTCTCGAATGACCTGTAAAAGTTGACCTAATTTAAAACACATGCGATGTACATGGTACTAATTGTAAAAAGAGGCCTGGAATTTGGACCTGTTGGTAATGTTATGGTTGTTCAGTAATCCTGTAATGTTTTGAAGCTGTTTAGGTTCATTGCTGTAGCAATCACTTCCGGTAGACTGTTCCATGTTGTTATTGTTCTATTGCTGAAGACATTTTTGTTTACTTCAAGGCTTTTTTGGATGCCTCCTGGTCCCCATATTTGATGCCGGTTTAAACATGAGTTCGTGGTCTACATGGTCGATGTTATTTAGGATCTTATAGATTTCGACTAGGTCGGCTCTTTCCCTTCTATACTCGAGTGTAGGCAGTCCCAGTTTTCGTAGCCTTTCATCATATGGTAGATTTGATAGATTTTTTATCCGTTTTGTAGCCCTTCTTTGAACATTTTCGATGGAGATTTTGTCTTTGATAAAGATTGGGGACCATATAGGTGTTCCGTACTCTAAATGTGGTCTGACG